TGCAGACATTCGTACAGAAGATGGTAAAATAAAAAAAGTAATTTTATTTGATACTGTCCGCTAAGATAAGCTGTCGTTATTGATTTCCCCGCTTTTGTCCATATCTATCAAAACAATACACACCATCTGAAGCACTCCCCCTCCCCCTTATTATATAATAAGGATATAAACATTCCCCAAATCCCTCAACCCCCTTATTTTATAATAAGGATATAAACAGATTTATTCAAAAATGATTAAATCAATGTAAACTACTGCTTACAGTATAGAATATTACACATGTAAATAATCTAGATATGAATGAGAGGTGATTGATTGAAATCAAATTGCAAATCAAACACACCTACAACATGCTTATGAATTAGTTATAATTGGCAACAGATTGAAAATATATTTTTAAATTGACCTGTAAAACTGGTTTCACAATGTTTATATACTGTCTATACTTTTGATTGGTGCTTAACTAGTGACTCCGCCCAAAGGATGGTAGTACCTTAGCTAATAATGATTTCATGGTTCAGCTAGCAAGCAAGCTAACCAAATATACTCCCTTTACCTACACACTCGAGTCAATGTGCTGTAAAATGTTAAAAGTTGTACAGTTTAGGTTTTTTAAAGATTAAATGGATAAAATCCTGTCTGAAGTTGTATAAATATATATATAGTTCATAGTGCGTTTGCTGATATTCCATGTATTCTCTAGATTATACAAGTTATATGCCAGTATCCATGTAGTCAAACCTACATGGGGATTTTTCCATGTCTTGATTTGGACAACAATTGCTATATTTCATTAGACTCTTAAATTCGTGGATATGGCCATCCATGAAAACCATGAAAATTGGTACCCATGAATAAAAGTACTTTCAAAGTAGGTTATCCTACATGTATGTACCACTCAATCTAACCTGCTGTTACATGTATATATTTCTCTATATTCTGATGTAGTATACATTTGTACAGTATTACAAATGTATGAAGTAATGCACCAACAGATCACTCTATCATTTTAGTAAGTTATCCTTAAACATGTTTTGATGTTAGACAAAGTTTCATTTTAATGTGCTGATAAGGCTTAAGGCAAAACAAATCACAAGAACAAATGCATACAAATATGCCTACTGGAGTATGCCTAACAATTTAGATAAATTTGTTCATGTATTTTATTTAACTGATGAATAATTAAGAAAAAAAATATTTTACTGTACAGTAAGTTGTAACATACATGTACATGACATATTAAACAATCTGATTGTGGTACACTAGAAAGAGAGAAATATGCACATAACATATATCAGTTCTTTCCAGGTTATATTACTATTAAATATTTGAATAGTCTATAAACTGTAAATGCGGTTAATCCTTTTTATTGACTTATTTTATTACAAATATTTTGTGTTTGTCTACAAATCTATTTAAACAATTTACATAATAGCTCTCATCTGATGTCCTCAGTCAATATTCTAGTTGCTAGTTGTAAAAGGTGATTTCTGTTCATCGGTTAATATAAAAATGAGAAGATGTGCCTTGTGGTATGATTGCCAATGAGACAACTCTCCACCAGAGACCAATTGAGGAAGAAAATTAAGCAATTCAGATCATTTTGATATACATGTATACAAATGTACATGTACATGTATATTTTATGAACACACTGTTGGTGCATTAATATATATTACTAGAAGCATTTAAAACATGTACTGGTAGTCAAAGTGAATTTATAATGCATACATGTAACACGTGTTAAGGTATTTTCATGTTTAACATGCATATACCCATATAAGGGTACAAGCAATAATGAGCAAACGTCTTTCTTTGCACTTAATTTGGGAAATTGATTGTCATTTCTACAATGTATATCATGTATATATTAGCAATTTGTTTGTTCACCTTTGTAACTTAAATGTACATATATAGGCAACCTGATTTTTGTGACTGAATACTCCAGATCTATCAATGTTACTTTCAGAGGTTGACAAGCATGCACATATGAATTAATTATGGGGAATATAAATCAATGAGATAGCAACCCAACAACACAAAAAACACAAGACATTTTAAAGTCAGCATATATATATTCTTCCTCAATAGACAGGTGTTTTTATAGGACCGCAAAAATTGAAAATTTTTTGGTCGTATATTGGTATGACGTTGGCGTCGTCGTCGGCGTCGTCCGGCGTCGTCCGAAGACACATTGGTTTTTCGCACTCTAACTTTAGTTTAAGTGAATGGATCTCCATGAAATTTTACCATAAGGTTCAATACCACGAAAGGAAGGTTGGGATTGATTTTGGGGGTTAAGGAATTAGGGGCCAAAAATAAGCATTTTTGTAACTTCCAGACAATAACTTGTGTGTAAGTGTATGGATCTCTCTGACATTGTACCACAAGGTTCCATATCACAAAGGGAAGGCTGTAATTGATTTTGGGGGTAATTGCCTCAAAATTTTAGGAATTAGGGGCCAAAAAAAGGGGCAAAAAACAAGCATTTTTCTAGTTTCATGACAATAACTTGTGTGTAAGTGTTTGGATATTTCTGAAATTGTACTACAAGGTTCCATATCACAAAGGGAAAGCTGGAATTGAGTTTGGGGGTAATTGCCCTAAACGTTTAGGAATTGGGGGCCAAAAAGGGGCCAAAAATAAGCATTTTTCTAGTTTCCAGACAATAACTTGTGTTCAAGTGTATGGATCTCTCTGAAATTGTACTGCAAGGTACCATACCACAAAGGGAAGGCTGGAATTGAGTTTGGGGGTGATGAATCATAAGGGGGTTTAAAAAATTTGGGGGGGGGGGGGAATTTTTTTTTTTTCTTTTTTTTTCTTTTTTTCCTTTTTTTTTTCTTTTCAAATTTTCTATTTTAAGTTGGTTATTTCTGATTTATATTTAAAAGCAAATAATAATGATATGGTAGGAGATACACACCAAACAGGATGTGTAAATTATTATATAATAAGTATTGTGCAATAGCAAGAAATTTTCAATTCCACAGTATTGCACAATAGCAAGAAATCTTCAATTGCACAGTATTGCGCAATAGCACGAAATCTTCAATTGCACAGTATTGTGCAATAGCAAGAAATATCCAATAGCACAATATTGCGCAATAGCAAGAAATTGTCAATTGTACAGTATTGCGCAATAGCAAGAAATATTCAATTGCACAGTATTGTGCAAAAGAAGATACTTCGTATAAATTGCTTATTTCTTGATCAATTTCAATGGGGTTTTATTCTTGAATTCTTGGGGTTCTTTAATATGCTGAATCTAACCGTGTATTAAGTTTTTGGATTTTGGGCCCCGTTTTTAAATTGGTCCACATTGAGGTCCAAAGGGTCCAAAATTTAACTTTGTTTGATTTCATCAAAAATTGAATTATTGGGGTTCTTTGATATGCCGAATCTAACCGTGTATTTAGATTCTTAATTTTTGGTTCCGTTTTCAAATTGGTCTACATTAAGGTCCAAAGGGTCCAAAATAAAACTTAGTTTGATTTTAACAAAAATTGAATTTTTAGGGTTCTTTGATATGCTGAATCTAAACATGTATTTAGATTTTTGATTATGGGCCCAGTTTTCAAGTTGGTCCAAATCGGGGTCCAAAATCAAACTTTGTTTGATTTCAACAAAAATTGAATATATGGGGTTCTTTGATATGCTGAATCTAACCATGTATTTAGATTTTTGATTTTTGGGCCCCGTTATCAACTTTGTCCACATTGAGGTCAAAAGGGTCTAAAATAAAACTTTGTTTGATTTCATCAAAAATTGAATTCTTGGGGTTCTTTGATATGCTGAATCTAACCATGTATTTAGATTTTGGATATTGGACCATAATAGGTGAATGTCCAATTTAAAAATTTTAAGTTCTTAGACCACATTCATTCTGTGTCAGAAACCTATGCTGTGTCAAATATTTAATCACAATCCAAATTCAGAGCTGTATCAAGCTTGAATGTTGTGTCCATACTTGCCCCAACTGTTCAGGGTTCGACCTCTGCGGTCGTATCAAGCTGCGCCCTGCGGAGCATTTTATTACATTATGTCAAGATCTAAATTGCCATGAGTTTATAAAAAGTAGTGAATAAATTGTACCCCTGACTGACAAAGACTATCAAAGTTACCAAGAATTTTGACAAAAAAAAGAAGCAAATAATCAGAAGACATCTAGAGGTCAATATACACGACAAATGCATGATATACAGTGAATAGAAAACACCTCCTGAAATATCTCGAGTATAAAATAAATTTTCAATTGTTTCAGTTGTTTTGTGAATTGAGTACTTAAAGGGGCATTAGCTACAAGATATAAGAAAATTAAAATATGATTTTTTTTTGTTTAATCATTAATGAAAGTGATATAAAGAAATACTTATTCACTTTTAGCAGCAAATTTGGTTCAATATTGTCAAAATAAGATAAGAAACATTGTTGATGAATTATTCACTTGCAAGTGAATAATTCGACCTCATTGAATCCGTATTCATGTGACCTTTAATTTAACCCCTTAGCTGGAGATGGGTTAAGCATGTATCCAACTATTAAAAGGAAAAGAATGTCAACATTGAAAGTGAAACAAGGATGACTGATTTAGATCCACAAAAAAATCATTCTTACACGGGTAAAATCGATGATAAACATACTTTTTAACCTACAATATGAAATCAAACAGACCTAGAAAAATCCAATTGCACGTGGACGCTTTCTGTTTATATTTATATTTATGTTTATATTGGATTATATGACCGTCTTTGTAGGTCATCTCGATGGTTAATTATATATGATTAGATGACTCTAGACAAAAACACACACGCAATGTTGATACATATTAATGAGTACATGCATTGTTAATTGTTTATTTTAGACTGTTTGTAATTTGGATATACGTTTTAGTATGTTATAAATCAAATATGAGAATTTGAGTCAAATCGGTGAAGATGAATTTGACAGCTAATGCCCCTTTAAGTTGAAGAAAATAAAATTATGAATCAACCTTTTAGAAGTAATGCAGACTATACAGATTTACACAAGAAGTTAGAAACTGTTACAGAGGAAAGAGACACCTATCTTAAGGAAGTAGAGAGGGCAAGGAACCATAACTCTGATGACCTGTATTTACCACAGATCAAAGAGGTTTGTCTATTTCAGAAATAAAAGTATCCAGAAATCACCACAGGCAATTTACAGGTATTGCAGCCATGCTCCTACACCCTTGAATTTTTAGCACCACCCTTGGATTTCCAGCATCATGCTCGATTTTCTCAGAATAAACCTTGACTTTGGAAAATAAATCTTCATCAGTATATAATTTTGTAAGACTAGAATTAAGTTATAATTTTTATGTCATAAGTTAAGATACATATATTTTTGAACAAACATATAAATATTTATTCAACAGTTAAAATAATTATTGGTATTATGTCCAACCTGAAAATTTTTCTGCGGTTTCTTACGTTTTGCAGGTGTTTGTGCATATTAATTCTTTAAAATTTCTTACAGTTTAAAGTACATTGTAAATTGCCTTTGAATAGACCTCTCTCAAGGGTATGAGGCTTGTGCAGTCATATTATTTTACTTCTTGATTCAATTCCCTACATGATAAGCCATTTGAATTTTAAGGCTACATTTTCTCAATAGTCATAGAAGAGGTTGTCTTATGAGTGAGATGACTACATGGACTAGTGTCTGCACCAAAGTCAGTTAGACTTATCATTTTCTAATTTCAGTTGGAGTTCACAATATCTCAACAACAACAGGAAATCCGTGGATTAAGGGACAAACTCTCCAGTCATGATACAGCAGCAAAAAAGGCAATCACAGAACTACAAGTAGAAATAAAGTCAAGAACTGACCAGGTATTTTCTTGATTGATTGTTGTTGCATGTATATTTTTGTATATTTTGTTTAGGTCACATTAAAAATGTTTTAAGCTGTTCATTATACAGTATTACTCCCACTCTTAAGCAGGGGGGTGTACTGGTTTACATCTGTCCGTCCATCTGTGTTAATGTCAGTTCGTCCCATCATCCCATTAAATTTTGGGAGCATTTTCTCATGAACTACAATTTAGAGCTTCCTGAGATTTGGTGTCAAGCTTCAAGTGAGTATTCTATACTATGTTATGCATTTTCAGATTCGTTGATCATCAACTTCCTGTTTACCTAATACTTATATATATTCTTACACATACATGTACTGGCCATGTATGAAAATTTTGTCACATTTTCTCCAAAACTGCAAATCAAGTTTCACGTGAGCATGCTATTCTGTGTGATGCATTTTCAAATTCGTAACTTCATATTTATTGATCACTTATACACAATGTATCAGGGGTATCTTTCAGTTAAACTTATTGTACATTATCTAAGTATCTTTATTTTGAAAATATCATTTATCTATCAATGTGTGTTGGTTGAAATTTGGATTGGCCATGAGAAAAATGAATATTGGTAAATGTCAAAGAAACAGCAACAGAAATATTTCAAAATCAGTCAGCAAGGTATTAATTGCATGAAAATACTGGACATGCTTTGAAAACTTATTATGAGAAGGCATATAATATTAATTAGTCATGTATTTAAGGATTTATTCATTAATGTAGGTGACAAAAGCTTACAGGGAGGTTGTAGCAGAAAAAGATCAAATGGTTGTTAAATATGCACAAGCAGAGAAAAATAATATTGGTGCTCAGAAGACTATTGAGAGGTTAGAATCTAAAATTAAAGATGCAGCAAAAGAGAAGGATGGGCTGTTGGGGAAAATCAAAGATCTGAAGTTAGAGAAAACTCGACTGGGTCATGAACTAGATTTAAAAGTAAGTATTTGTTATTAACAAGATATCAAACTGTGATAATTACACAATGTACAAAAACAACTACTTTGTTATTCATGTACTCATGGGAATTTTGATAAATTTGTGTTTGCTTTGTATTTTTGCATTTCTGTATAACTGATACTAATGAACTTAATGATATAAATTTAACAAGTTTTCTTTTTTTTCAAGCTATCCATTAAAAAAAGGCATAAGGAAACACAATTTTAAGACTTTTTTCAGTTGGGAACAAACTATAAATGTAATGAACTTAACACTCCGGAAGTGGTTTTACTTGTGAGAAGCTAGTAAGAATATTTAACTAAAGTTAAGTAGGATATGGATCAAAGTTGGAAACATAAGGCTATAAAACATGTTATTTATTATTTCAGTCAAGCGAAGCTCAGTCTATGAGGAAAGAAGCAGAGAAGTTTAAAGAACAAGTTTCTTCATCTGATGTCAGAATTAAATGGGCTCAGAATAAACTAAGAGCTGAATTGGATGGTCACAAGGTAAGATTAGCATTAAATGGGCTCAGAGTAAAGTTAGAGCTGAACTGGATGGTCACATGTTAAGATTAGCATTAAATGGGCTCAGAATAAAGTTAGAGCTGAACTGGATGGTCACAAGGTAAGATTAATATCAAATGGACTCAGAATCAAGTTAGAGCTGAACTGGATGGTTACAAGGTTAGATCAGCATTTAATGGGCTCAGAATAAAGTTAGAGCTGAACTGGATGGTCACAAGGTAAGATTAATATCAAATGGACTCAGAATCAAGTTAGAGCTGATTTGGATGGTCACAAGGTAAGATTAGCATTAAATGGGCTCAGAATAAAGTTAGAGCTGAACTTGATGGTCACAAGGTAAGATTAGCATTAAATGGGCTCAGAATAAAGTTAGAGCTGGATTGGATTGTTACAAGGTAAGATTAGCATTAAATGGGCTCAGAATAAAGTTAGAGCTGAACTGGATGGTCACAAGGTAAGATTAGCATTAAATGGGCTTAGAATAAAGCTAGAGCTGAATTGGACTTTCACAAGGTAAGATTAGCATTAAATGGGCTCAGAATAAAGTTAGAGCTGAACTGGATGGTCACAAGGTAAGATTATCATTAAATGGGCTCAGAATAAAGTTAGATCTGAACTGGATGGTCACAAGGTAAGATTAGCATTAAATGGGTTCAGAATAAAGTTAGAGCTGAACTTGATGGTCACAAGGTAAGATTAACATTAAATGGGGTCAGAATAAACTGAGAGCTGAATTGGGTGGTCACAAGGTAAGATTAGCATTAAATGGGCTCAGAATAAACTGCACAACATTAAAGTAAATTGAGTTGATAGTGGCTTGCTAGGCCAGGAAGCAAGGTACAACCCATTATGGTTCAGTTGTAATTTGCAATAAAAATCATTTTTCAAAAAAAAGTGTTATTGAAATTCTTTTTTCTCCATTGGTAAAATTTTACAATTGTATTGATGTACGGTTGGGGATAGCAAATAAGCATCAAATTTCAATTTAATCCAAAAAATTAGACATAAACAATAAAGTCCATCAATTGTAAACAAACAGGTAAAATGAAGGTAGATAACTTGGTTTATTTTAATTATAAAATGACATGGAAGATTGTAGGAAATACAGCTAATCAATGTATGTATAATATTTTACACTTAAGTGGGTCTCTCAATGGTAAATATTTGCATAATAGATAAAATAACACATCCATTATCTATTGAATATCTATCTTAATATGTAAGTCAAATAAACAAGTGCTTTTGATATTAATATTTTGATTATTAAAGGAAACAAAAGCAAATTTAGAGAAAATAAATCAGCGACTAAAAGAAGCCAAGGAAGAAACAGAACAAATCAGGAGGAATTGTCAGGAAATTATTAAAACTTACCAGGTATGATTTTAAATTCTAATCCATTTGTTTTGAATCAAACCAAAATAACAATATGTTCTGTGTTCAAATACTGTAAATTCAGAAATTTTTGCACCGTTTTTATTATTGCATAAATTGTAACGGAATAGGTATTGCAAATATAAAACCTTGCAATTTAAAATTTGATAGCTTATTTTGAATGCAGCATTTACTGTTAATTACAATAATTAATCTTGCATTGATGTTCATTCTTTAAAAATCGCAATATTAAATGAACGCAATAAGTTCTGAATTAACAGTTTATCAGTTGTAATACCTGGAAAAAATGGGATAGTATTTTTATTCATCCTGTAATGGATTGTTTTTTTATACAAACGAAAATACCTAGATTCATTGTGGTATCTTCAAATCTATACAATTACATGTATATAAATATAGATGTACTGTATTAATCTCCTACAAATATTTTGCCCATTATAATGTAAACACTCATATATAGATATTAAAAAAATTATCATAAGTTTGTCGAAATTCCTTCATGTTGAAATCGCGATCTTCCAAGTAATTGGTTTTCTCAGAAAGATATGACATCAAAATGCAAATATCTTCATGTCACAATGTCCTATGACATGTTTTTCCCAAAGACCCCAAATCAACCAGGGCAGTTCATTCATAAAACCTTGAGTGCGGGAGGTTGTGGGTGTGAACCTTGGCCGGGTCAAACCAAAGACTTTAAAATTGGTATTTGCTGCTTCTCTGCTAAGCACACAGCATTTGAGAGTAAGAGCAAAGACTGGTCGGCTCGGAGTCAGAATAATGTGTCCGGGTAAGGTAACATGTCTTCCTGCAAACTGTTACCTTGTGAACTAGCACGTTTAACTTAGGCTCAGCGTATCGGTCTAGTACAAAGCAGGGTTAATATTCATATTACATTAACATGTTCTCGCCCTGAATATGCATATTAATTTGCCACTGGACGTTAAGCAGTCATCCATCATCATCATCATCATTCATAAAACTGAAATTGGATAGTCATGTATCACAAAACAACTGTGTGTATTATTATAGGAATCCGAAGAAATAAAATCCAACAGTCTGGATCAACAACTGAAAAAGAAACAGACTGAACTTTTACTTCAAGAGACAGAAAATAAAGATAAAGAAGAGGTAGATATTTTTTATTGTCTGTCTATATATGTAAATCCAGAGAAACATTCTAATGCACTAAATTTATGAAGTGTGATTTTCATTTTCTATCACTGGTGAGATACTGCTGCTGGTGGACTACTAGTCCCAGAGAGTATCAGTAGTCAGTGCATTGGTACTGACATGTTTTATGACATACATTTCTTAATTTGTCTGTTGATTAATGTAGAAATTATTAAGAAATTACTAAGGTTTGAACTACCCCATCCAAAGTAGACCTTAGATGCATTTCAAATTTGGGGTTTGAGAGTTCCTTTATATGATAGTTCATCTAAAAAAGCACTTTTGACACACCAAATTTGTAAAGGTTATTTTTTTTCATTTTTCATTGTTTATAGTTTTCCTGAATACTTTGTTTCATATTGAAGAAAGTAATATTGTTTTCAGTAATCTACAAAGCAGTATTGAATTTATTTTAGAATCATTCTCTACCATATACAGTTAAGAAAATGCTATCCAGAAAAAGTTTTTTAAATCCTTTCTCATTGATTTTGGATAAAAACCATTCAAGAAATAGTTAATTGCTGTAAACTGTAATACCATTCCAGATAACAACTAATTGGCCCAAGATCCATTCCAGTTAAAAACACATAAACTTCAAAGGTTACCATTGCATATGCCATGCAGAAAAAAACTAATTAATCAAAGATGTAAACTGTTAAAATAGTTTATTGGCATCAGCCATGTTGTACCAATTCATCAAAATTAAATGACTGCTTGTAGAAGTTTACCAAAATTTCTAAATAACCAATAAATTAATGTTTATTTGTTTACAGTTATATACAACAGCCATGAAGGAACTGGAGCAGTTAAAGATAAAACATCGTGAGACACTGTCTGAACTTCATACATACCAAGATAAAACCATGTGTTTGGAGGAGGAACATAAAACAGATGAGGAAACATTAAATAAATTTAAACATATGCTACAGAAACAGAAAACAGAAAATAAATCTTTACAAGATAAAACTGAACACATGGTTCAATTACAAGCAGATTTCAAAAGGTAAGATTAAATAGTGATATTTTGGGTAAATGTAGGGAAAAGTTCAGCTCAGTATAGTTTGTACAAGGTACTTCTATTTATGTACTTATAACAAATGTCTAGATCTAAATCTACCATTAAAGATATTTATGAGGTATCTCTGAGGTACAATGTCAGAAATACAATTTTCCCAAATACTTAATTCTTGGAACAGTTAAGATCTTAAGGAAATTCCATTTACTGTGTAAAGGTTTTCCAGGTTTCTCTGTGAAACAACATAATATTTTGCCCACTTACTAATTCGGAGATAAAATATAGCATATAGTCTTACTAAACTGATGATATATTTCATAGAGGCATTATTTTATCGATGATTTAAGGATGTTACTACTTATAATAATTTGGTTGTATTTTTTTCAAGTAATTGAGATTTAGGTAATATATAATAATGATTTTTATATTGGAAACCAGGAAATCTTTTGTAGATGATATTAAACAAAATTTCTCTTTTTTTTCAGAGCACAAAATACAATAGCCTCACTGGATGCAGAAGTCTCAGAACTTAAAATTAGCAATAAAGATTTAAGCATAGAAATGGAAGGGTGTCGAAGGAGAGAATCTGAAAAATTAGAATTAACGGATAAACTATCATCTAAGAATGCTGAACTTCAATCAGAAAATTCTGCCTTAAATGATAAGGTAATGTTAATGTTAAGAAGAACTAACGAAAAATCTGTCATCAATGATAAGGTAATGTTAACATATAAAGAAGAACTTACAAGTAAAACTACCAGTTAAACATTTTTTCTCAATAAAATATTGGAAATTTATCCAATAATAAAAAAAAATCTGCTTTAGGTTGTGAATTTGATGTTCAAGAACAAATGACCTTGTAGTAGTCTATTAAATTTAAATTGCAGATCCTTTTCTACATGCTGTGCAGAAATTTACCTCGATTGCTTCTATTTTCCTCTTTTTAAAAGTAGCTCTTTTTTTTTTTAAGTGACCGTTTACTCATATTGTTGCAGTTACACTTGAGATAATGCAGATTAACTTGATCCAGATTAATTCAGTAAGCGAAATATTGGGTTGAGCTAATTCACATAATTATAGCTCCAATGTCATCATGTTTTATTTTAAACCACATTCGTCAGAGTCAATATTGATTTGAGTTTTGTAGTGTTATTAGTCCCCTACCGACGAAGTCGAAGGGGACTTTAGGTTTGCACTCTGTCCGTCTATCTGTCCATCTGTCAGTCCGGCAAATCAGTTTTCCGGACTTTTTTTCTTCATGCTTGAAGATATTGATTTGATATTTGGTTTATTGTTTTAACATGACAAGTTACAGGTCAAGCTTAATTTTCACGATTTTAGCTTTTCTATTTGTTCAGTAAAAGCCCTTTCCCTAGAATTAAATTTTTGATGAATACTTATTAATTAGTAGTTTTCTGTTCAAAGGGAAATAACTCATTTTTTAAAAGGCAAAATGACATTTTGGATTTTTTTCCTTTTCTTTGGTAAATTGTTTGAAGAATTTAGTGGTAGGTTTGTTTGTCATTCTTGAAGATATTGATTTGATAATTAGTATATAGTTTTATCATGACAAGTTACAGATCAAGTTGGAATTTTGTTCCGGTCTGATGATTTTGTGCAGAGTTATGGTCTTTGGACATAGAAAATTCACTTAAATAATCAGTTTTCAACAGTTTTTTTCGTCATGCTTGAAGATTTTGACTTGATATTTTTATGTAGTTTACACCATGACAAGTTATAGATCAAGTTAGAATTTCATTCCATGACAATGAATTTTTAACCGGTAGGGGACTATGTATTGCCATGCAATACTCACAGAATGCTTGTTAAGCATAATTAATCATACTATGGAGAATAAATATTGTTCTGTTTGATAGGTGATGGCCTTGTCAGTTGAAGTGCAAAGTCAAAAGATGGATCTCCAGTCCAAAGAAAGCAACTTAGATGAACTGGTAGGTGACTATGCTTTGCTGCATAAAAAAATCTTCAGAATTATTTAGAAATTTATCAGCAATATATGATACTGTGGATTCATTTACTTTCGTTTTATTTACCAATTTTCATGGATTGAGGAAAAATCACGTTTTTGTGGATATTTGATTTGGTGGTTTTACAGAGGTCAGCTTACAAGCCTATAGAAACTCGTATTTCTTTTAGATTTGTGGTTCACCTATACCCACTAAATCCACAAAAGTTGGTATCCCACAAATAAAAATGAATCCACAGTAATTAAATTACTTTATTACATTGTGTTAATGAATGACAATTATTTATTTTGAATTTATTGAACCATAAAATTAATTTTTGACTCTTCACATTGAATAATCCGCGAAGCGGATTATGTAAAATGTGAAGAGTCAAAAATTAATTTTATGGTTCAATAAATTCAAAATAAATAATTGTCATTCATTATAAATAAATTTCTATCAAAGATAAGGCTCAAAGAGCTTTTTATATTATTTATATTAACAATAACAACGTACACACATGTTGGCGTATGAATACACAACGTCAGAGTGGGCGTGTCTCCATAAAAATTGACAACATTGAAAATAAAGGTAATACTTTTAACCAATCAGAAGACAGTAAATACACCAAATTTATTTATATTAAAATATAACAAAGTTATAAATGTGATCAAGCACAATTATTCAGATAATAATACAAAACAACAGTTATACAGTTTAATTGCAAAATGACTATGAATAGAAGTTTACATGTAGCTTACGCAGCATGAAATTTAATGTTGAAATGAAATTGTCCAAGGTCCTTAGTTCTGTTGGCTGTTCCACGAGGATTGATCTACAAACTTCCCAAAATGTCCCTAGATGGGAGGTAATATAAAAACTCATCATAGATATGCACACTCTTCATCAGTTTTCTGGGAGATTGCCACGTTAGGTTAGGATACACAAATGTGTTTGTGTAATATATTGGGTTGTGTTTATACACTACCACACTTTTATTTGGGTTGAAAAGAATTAGCCTTATTTGTAATGCTTCAAAAGGTTAAACATGCAGACCCTACCCTTTGCAATCCCTTCCCATCTGAACAACTTGTATATGATGGTTGTCTTATGGATGAAATGTTTGCCCATCGAGTCATTCATTTATTAGTCTTAGCTTTCAAAATATTGTCTCTTTTTCAGTCTCACAGATTATCAGATGTTACCACTAAAAGTCAACAAGAAATAAGACAGCTGACAGAAAAATTTAATGAAAAATCTAAGAAAGGTAACATTAAAAACATGTCATATTCTCAGAAAAACTGGCTCAATTTACTTTGCTGATAAACTTTTTTTTTAGATCAATTTTTTGTATTGTTTGCTTTGTTTCGTTATTTTTTATAAGAGATGACATTTTTATGGCCATACATTTTTGAGAAAGGGAAAGAATGATGTATGGGGGAAAGTTTTCTTATATACTAAACAACTTAAGAAACGCACACAAACTTTAATAATTTCTCTGGAATGAAATCCCCTTTGTCATCATCAAAACAAAAAAGCATCTGTAAACTCATTGAAGTACACTTATCAGTAAATTTATGCCATATCTTGAATGGCAAAGGAAAGTAATTGAAAATTGACAAATTGTTACCAAATTATGTACAAAAAAAAGTATTATTTTGGGTGTCTTGTGAAAAATAAACATCTTTTATGATAACTTTGATGTATGCTTATTAAGGACATTATAAACATGATCAAGTAAATGTAACATTCCAAAAATGGAAATTCACATTAATATTCACAATTAATGGAGATGAGATCCAAAGGGATGGTTTATTACCATATTCTGTCATACATTCACAGGGGTCTCCATAATCTGTTTTATGGTGGTGCACCGCAATTGATAAATTATCTTCCGCCATTGTCAAAGATTCAAGCCATCGTTAAATTATCTACCACCATCTTCAAATGGAGAGGGGAGGTTATAACATGAATTTTATTTTGAAAAATCCTATTATATACATGAAATAGGATTTGGCAAAATAAAATTCATGTTACAACTTCCCCTCTCGATTTCCCCCTCAGTTGTACATTATGTTCTTAGCTGTCATGTTCAATTGATAATACACAAATTTGTCTTTTTTTTTTTACCCTCTTGAAGTCTTCTACTTCTTGTATGTCTTCATATAGATATTTGTCCCCATTAAGTATTTAACATTTGTTTCAGTTGATGAACTGTCAACAAGAATTGATGATGAAAAAGATGAGATTAAAACCTTAAAGAGAAAGCATGTCAACAGCATGAAGGTATTGATTATTCAGATTTATTATTTTAGTATTTTCTTAAGAACTGACCAACACATAGGAAAAGTTGATTTCTTGGATTTCTTTTAAGTGAATAGAGGAAATTAATTGAGCCCCTTAATCGTGTTGCTTCTTAAATGCTGTCCAGTGCACATTGAGATGTCTATGATAATAAAAATCTTGTCAGATTATACATTATGAATCAACAAAACCAGTATATACCATGATTTACAGTAAGATATATGTATAAACCATGCTTTACAGTATAGAAATGTCTTTATTTCATAGAGTAGTCTACAAAGTAGATTTTCCCTAATATTATTAACTGAAATGACTTATAACAGTTTTTTAGTTTAAATAAAGTTCACCACAGCTGAAATACTGTGGAATTCATACTGAATGAAAAAGATAAATGCATTTTGCATTAACTTATATATATTCTATACATTAAAACATTATATCTTTTACTTCAAGGATTTAACAAGGCAGTTACAGCAAGCAAGAAGGAAACTTGAAACGTTTGAAGCCAATGGAGAAAAGGACAGTGCAAGTCTTGGATCTCGTACCAGCTCCACTGGTTCCCTAAATACTCTTACTAATGGTGATGGACCAAATCCACAACCTCATCAAGTGCCAACTCATACATACAGGCAGTCCAGTCCTCCAGAGCAGGTAGGGTTCTTATCACCTTCAAGTCGAACAAGTATGGCCCCATACATATAGGCAGTTCAGTCCTCCACGGCAGGTAGGGTCATTACCACCCTCAAGTCTATTAAGTACGCCCCATACTAAAAAGAGTTCCAGTCCTACAGGGCAGGTAGGGTATTTATCACCTTAAAGTAGAACAATTACGACCCATACAAAAAAGACATCCAGTCCTACAGGGCAGATGGGATATTTATCACCTTAGAGTAGAACAAGTATGGCCCCTTCATACAGTCAGTCCAGTCTTACAGAGCTGGTAGGGTATTTATCACCTTCAAGTCAAACAAGTACCATATAATACATTAGGGCAGTCCAGTCTTCCAGAACAGGGTCTATTTTATCGAGATCTTGAAACAGTGTGCAATATAGAATATACAGAAAACATCTATTCATTTGAACACAGACTAAACAGCATAAAACGAAAGCCCATATAAAATTTAGCCTTCACAGAAGATTATAAATGTATATTATCAAGAAGTCATATATGGCTCTAGAAAATAATCCATGTTATTTTTTTTTGCCCAGGAATATCCAGTAATAACAGAACAAGTAGAACCAGATAAACAAGTACTGATAGAGAGAATCGTCAAATTACAACGAATGTTAGCTCGTAGAAATGAAAAGATTGAATTTGTGGAAGATCATGCTCACCAGCTGGTTGATGAGCTACAAAAGAAAAATAAGTATGTTATTTTTGGTAAACAAAATTTTATCTAAAATTCAAAACAGTTGTACATAGAAAGACGTTTAATAGTTTTTGAATGCTTTTGCTACAATGTTACAAGAGTTATTAATGTTACGTTGTTGCTGGTTTTTTTTTCTCTCTGATGAATTATAATGCTTAAATTCTATAAAATCAAACATGTTGTAATTTCCCCATTTTGATTGTGTTCACCAATATGTAGGAGTTTAAAATAGTACTATAGCATGTTAAATTAGTTTTTCATCCATACTGTTATATATACATGTATATATTGGTATAGTATGTTAAGAAAGGAGTTACTGACTTTCTTATGAACAAATTTTCTTTTTTAGAATAATAGGATAAATTACGGTAGAAGTTTATTACTTTGACATAAACTTTTTTCTTCTCATAGAATAATACAGATGTATGCATTACGAGAAGACAGTGGAATGTTCACAGCAGAGGCAGCAGACGTCAGCAAGGTATATCTCGATTAATAGCCTAAGGCGGTACAGTGACCTATAATTGCTTATATCCACGTCATTTGAACTTTGGTGGATTGTTGTCTCATTGGCATGTTATCAGAGAAATATCAGCACATTTTCATGAAGCAAGAAAGCTGTCCATTTTTATATGACCGCAAAATTTTTTTTGGGATTGTATAATGGTATGATGTTGTCGTCTGCGTCGTCGTCCGAAGACACATTGGTTTTAATAATAACTTTAGTTTAAGTGAATGGATCTGTATGAAATTTTTTAAGAAGGTTCAATACCATCAAAGGAAGTTGGGATTGATTTTTGGGATGATGGTCCCAACAGTTTAGGAATTAGAGGCCCAAAAAGGGGCCCAAAACAAGCATTTTTCTAGTTTCAGGATAATAACTTGTGTATAAGTATTTCGATTGCTCTGAAATTGTACCACAATGTTTAATACCACAAGTAGAAGGTTGGGATTCATTTTAAGGGGTTATGGGGGCCAACAGTTTAGGAATTAAGGGCCAAAAAGGGGCCAAAAACAAGCATTTTTCTAGTTTCCAGACAATAACTTGTGTGTAAGTGTATGGATCTCTCTGACATTGTACCACAAGGTTCCATATAACAAAAGGAAGGCTGGGATTGAGTTTGGGGTTAATTGCCCCAAACATGTAGGAATTAGGGGCCAAAAAAGTGCCAAAAACAAGCATTTTTCTAGTTTCCAGACAATAACTTGTGTCAGTGTATTGATCTCTCTGAAATTGTACTACAAGGTTCCATACTACAAAGGAAAGGCTGGGATTGAGTTTTGGGGTTATTGCTCAAGGGGGGTTTCAAAAAGGGGGGGGGGGATTTTTTTCCAATTTTTTTTCAGGGATTCATATTTTTTTTTCAAAATTTTTTAAATTTCGAATTTTTGAAAAGGTTTAAGAAGAAATCTTCAATTCCTCAGTATTGCGCAATGGATTTGTAAGATCTTTGACCAAATTTATTTTGTGTCAGAAACCTATATTATGTCAAAATTTGATAACAATCCAAATTCAGACAGTATCAAGCTTGAATATTGTGTCCAAATTTGCCCCAACTGTTCAGGGTTCGACCTCTGCGGTCGTATCAGGCTGCGCTTAGTGAAGCATTTTATTCAATATTTTGTAACACATCCTGTAATATTTAAATTTGTTTCAAATTGCAAGCAGGTATTTTCTGGAAATATTGTTTTGATGGTATGTTTTGATGTTAAGAAATAGACAAGAATTAATTGCTCATTTTAGCGTCTTTTTGGTGTGTGCATATTTTAAATCCATTTATACAAAGCTTCCATGATATGATACTATCTTTCATTCCATTAATGTCAAGCAATGGATATTTGACTGTATAATAAAAAATTGGGAAGTCTGTATGACAAAAAATAAATATGGTGAAGACCACTAACTTTTCGATAAATATCTATAATATATTATTCATTAATCACAATGTTTTTAGCAGCAACATAATATTGTATATAATGAATGTAAAAAAGTTGATTATTTATTTCTGATGACTTCATCAAAAGAATATCCATCTGAAACATAAATTTTATGAACAATTGTTTCAATAAAAAGTATAATTTTATAGCAATATAGATGATAAATCTGCAAAAAAGCGTTCTAAAATGGTGATTCTTTAAACAAAAACAATGTACCAAATTAAATGTTGCTACAGTATTTTTATGCTTTTTTGCTATTTATCTATAACATCATTGAAGAAAGCTTTACAACACAAGCTGTTAATCTATTAACCAATTTTCTTACAAATGGCAAATTTTACTACAGACAGCAAGACCTTTTTAAAAATTAATTGATGTTGAAATGAAAATTACTCATTATCAGTTGAGTAAAAATAAGTTTGGATCTGTTTTCTTTGATAATTTTTAGTTTAAGCAGATAACAATTTTCATCAGATAAATAGAACTGATGACTTGCAAGAATATGAGTAAACTGATGACTGGTTTCTACTTTAACTCAATAATTGAATAGATAACTGGTTTCTGCTTCAACTCAATAATTGACTGTCATAGCCTAGACATCTGCATGACTGATACTGGACACTATGCATGTCATTATCTGTACCCTTTGCTTCATGTGTTTTAGCAACATCAGAGGAATTTATCTAAGGTAACGTAACCATGTGACCTGTACAGCTTCATGTATAGGTCAAATGTCAAAAGATCAAAAAGCATGAAAAGGACAGTTTGCATGATTAATAGTTTTAATGTTGTTATTTATGCCCAACGATTGTTTTTATTGTAGATTCAACAAAATTTAGATAAAAAAGTTTATTTTGTAGTTGCATATTTTTTGTAGTGTAGGACTGTAGGTTATAAATTTGATTTAAGCTGTTCCTATTGTGTCCAGAGTTTAGTGTAGTTACTATAAATGTAATGAATGACAAAATATAAGTGTTGTAGAGACCTAAAAGTTTGGAAATAAAAACTAAAATTTTGTTGCCCTGTTGTGTCAAACATGTGCTCTCACAAGGCATGTGTGCAAGTAATGCATGAAACAGATGTTCCTTATTGTGTGAAATAGATGGAAAAGTGTGTTGTATTGGTTGACTAACGTCTTGTAGTTATTCCTTGAGAAGTAAAATTCATTGTATGGAAATTCTTTCTTCACTAACATATGGATATTGTTGGGATTAATTGGATGGTATGTAGATTACCTACAAGTTTCATTTTATCTTGCATGCAATTTTTTTTAATCGAATGGCTTGAATGTCTTGGTAAATTTTTCTGTACATGTTTGTCAAGTTTTGCAATGCTATAGGAAATGCTTCAGTAGAATAAAGAGAATTATTGGTAGATTGTAGACAAATTACATGAAGCTGTTAGGTGTTATAAACTGTATTAACATCCAACTATACTTTTGGCAACATTAATATATTTCTCCTAATAAGGCTTTGTTGTTACTCCGTATCTTGTTTATTTCCGTCTTCTATACTGAACTTATATTCATATAAAATACGACCTTTTATAAACAATATATTACCATTGTATCCATTTCTAGATGAAATTCTGCTGATGTATTTTCTTCCTTACTTGAAGTTACTTTACTGGCCCTTTGAAATGTATTGTTAAGCAGTAGGAGTTACAAATTTTGATAAACTTTGTAATTCGATCTTTGTGCAAAATGGATAATTTTTTACGAGGGTCTCGAGTTATCAATTGTTGAACAGTTATTTGATGACACTTTTATAACATTTGTTATACTCAGTTCATATTTGAAAGTGCAACTATAAGAATTTGTTTTTCTGTTCTGTTTGGATTTCATGCTCACCTCCCAGTAATATACATTTACTGTTGGAAAAAAAAACATATAAATGAGTGTATACTTTAATACAGAAATGTACAATAATTGAATTTTTGGAATATCTTGTCCTAGAAGTGCTTCTTCTTTAAGTAAATGCTATATCCCATTTGTTTAGTTTTGAACTAATAAGCTGATACACATAGAAAATAGAATTGTTCAAGGAAATTCAAAGCTTAAAACAAAAAAAAACATCCTTATGGACGAAACTTGGGTCTCCACACATAAAAGTAGTCTGGGATTAAGGATTGCAGGCATGCAAAACATCAATGCAAATATCAATAGCTTTATGTAAATATATTATACAGATATTACAAATTGCTGCTAGAATTACTAGTTTTATCAATCAGAATAATTAAACAGATGATACTGATATTAACTTTTGTCCTTGTAGTAAGATGCTGCATGAATAAATAAATATTGACTTCCTCTGGTGTTGTGCTTTCACTGTAGTACCATTAACCTTATTTCATTTCATATTTCACTGTACTATAGTATTATTCACCATAAGACTTGGGTATTTCATTTTATCTTTCAACAGCATTGCATATATCATTTAGAGTGTCCATTATGAACTCATTTCAAATTTTATGAATGTTATCTCTCCTGCATAATTATTCTTCTTTGAAATGTCAATTTATGGATAATTGGATAATATTAGATACTGTAAACCAACTTATTTTTCAAATTTGCTTGAGGTAGTTGAATAAGGAAACTTCAAAGTTTTACATAATCGCGACAATTTATATTCACGTTATTTTTCTACTCATGAAAGTCGTGAAAATTAGTTGGTTTACAGTATCTTGGTGTAATCATAGATGTACAGAATTTTATATTGGGGTTAAATTCTGTACACCCCTGATTGCACAAAGATAACAAATTTATTTCTAATGAAGCGTTCCTTTACTAATTTTAATAATGGGGAACAGTTGAAAAATTCTTATGAAGAATTTCCACTGCACATTTTTTTCAACACAAATCTTGCTGCGCATTGTCAAATGTAACCTTTTATTATTTTTCTTTATTTTTGGGAATTTTGGAAATATTTGAATCCAGTCTATAAAATTCTGGAATAAGGGGGTGACTGACTCTTATAAAAATGTTTTTTTTTGTTACAGGAAGGATTTTATTATGTATGATTTCCATACTCCACATTTTATCAACTGCCCATTTAACTTTTCAATCTGATTTCAGGCAGAGTTAGCAAAGAAGCACAGTATAATGGGATCTGTATATAGTTCTCATCAAACAGATGGATCAATGACATTAGAATTATCACTGGAAATTAACAGGAAGTTACAAGCAGTGTTGGAGGACACATTACTGAAAAATATGACATTGAAGGTGAGTCATCTTGAAGGTCAACAGGCAGTTATGGGGAATGTTATATAGAGAACATAAAAAAACAAAATTTGACTTTGGCAACTTTGTTTTGTGATCTGCTGGAATTTACAGATATTTTTAAAACATGACCTTGAAAGTAACACATTCTTGATATAAACCGGTAGCTTCAGATATCCTTGTAAACAGAACATGTTGTTGAAATATGACATGAACTGAATCATAAATCTAATTTAAAATATTAGAGATTATATATAAATAATTATCCTGATATATCAAATCGTAAGGAAATTATGTTTCTGGAAATTTGAACGGCTATATATTATGTAAGAATTTTTATACATTAGGGCCCCACAACTAGGATGCAAAAGTATAATTTTCATTTTGACCTTCTGTCCATCTGCCTTTCAACAATTTTGTAAATGCAAACCTTAAATTTATGGATTTGATGCAGATAAAATTTTGTACAGTGTATATGTAGAAGATGATTTCCTGAATAAGGAAAATTAAGATTTCAAAATTTATTTGTACTGATCAACAGCACTTTTCAAAATTGTCACCAAAAATATGAATACATTCAAAGTGCTTAAATTCAACCAATTTTAATATCCAGAATGTAGGATATATATCATGAATTGAAGGAATTATCTGCTGGTTTCCATTTTAGAAGTATCTGTTGGTATCTATTTTCATATCTGTTTCTGTGCCTCACACAAAAATGTGCACGTGGGGCTCTTCCTGACATGTCAGTTTTTTGTCGAGTCGCAGAAAGCTTGACATAGGGATAGTGATCCGGCAGCGGCGGCGTTACCTAACTTCTTAAAAGCTTTATATTTTAGAAGGTGGAAGACCTGGATGCTTCATACTTTGTATATGGATGCCTCATGTTACGAAGTTTCCGTCAGTCACATGTCCAATGTCCTTGACCTCATTTTCATGGTTCAGTGACTACATGAAAAAAAAGTTAACGTTTTTTGTAATGTTAATTTCTCTCTTATTATAAGTAGTAGGATAACTATATTTGGTATGTGCGTACCTTGCAAGGTCCTCATGCCCGTCAGACAGTTTTCACTTGACCTCGACCTCATTTCATGGATCAGTGAACAAGGTTAAGTTTTGGTGGTCAAGTCCATATCTCAGATACTATAAGCAATAGGTCAAGTATAATCGGTGTATGGAAGGACTGTAAGGTGTACATGTCCAACTGGCAGGTGTCATCTGACCTTGACCTCATTTTTATGGTTCAGTGGTTATAGTTAAGTTTTTGTGTTTTGGTCTGTTTTTCTTATACTGTATGCAATAGGTCTACTATATTTGGTGTATGGAATGATTGTAAGGTGTACATGTCTAGCTGGCAGGTGTCATTTGACCTTGACCTCATTTTCATGGTTCAGTGGTCAAAGTTAAGATTTTGAGTTTTGGTCTTTTTTTCTAATACTATATGTAATAGGTCAACTATATTTGGTGTATGGAAATATTTTATGATCTATATGTCAGTCGCGCAGGTTTTATTTGACCTTGACCTCATTTTCACAGTTCATTGCTCAGTGTTAAGTTTTTGTGTTTTGGTCTGTTTTTCTTAAACTATAAGCAATAGGTCAACTTTATTTGTTGTATGGAAAAATTGTTAGCTGTACATGCCTGCCTGGCATGGTTCATCTGACCTTGACCTCATTTTCATGGTTCATTGGTCAATGTTTAGTTTTCTTGGTTAATGTTAAGTTTATGTGACAGTTGTAATAAAGCTTTATATTAAGGACTATCAACATAATATCAGTGATTAGTAAAGAAGGCGAGACATTTCAGCGTGTGCACTCTTGTCTAGTTTATGCCGTCTTGTTTTCTGCTGTGCACCACTCAGGAATAGAAGACATTCTCTTACCAATATAAATATCTGATGCTTTTCAACAGTTACAAGACTTCAAAGCTGCTTATCAAAAGTTTATTAGTTTTGTTAAATCTTGCAAGTTTGTTTTTGCAGTTGTATTGTATCTGAAATTTGTTTTACCTATGTGCTTCTCTGTTGTAGGAAAGTTTAGATACACTTGGAGCAGAAATATCAAGACTTTCTCAGGAAAATCGTAAAATACAAATACAACTTGATAAACAGAAAAGATGATATTAGCAATAGTCATAAATAAACAAAGTTTGACACTTCACTAAAGACCTTTCGCCTCCTGCCAATCATCTGTTGAAAGTAAATTGTGTCACAATGGTCATGAAGAGTATTTGATGCAATTTGACAATGCTAGCTAGTCTGTAATTTTATGGATGCATGCAGAATTTTATTTATTTATTTGTGATGAATTTACAATGTGTAATTGATTCGCATACTAGGTATCTTACAGTGTTTAATTATAATAACAAATACCAGTAGTAATGATCAGTTGTTAAAAATTGAGACCACATATTTTATTTTCATACAAAAAGAAAATGATAAAATTTATTGATACTGATTGCAACATATTGACCAATTAAAATTTCCACTTGAAGTGAAGCCTGTCTATTTAGGAATAAATTTCATGTTTACATTGGACAGGTGTATAGTTTTTCCTCCAACAATGAATAATTGGTATCATTAAAGTTCATGAATATGGATTTACTATTGGTCAATGTAAAAAAAGCAATTGATGCAATTTATTTTGAATATTTTATATATGAGTATTGATTATTTAAATTGGATCATAGAATTTTTACTAATCTTTAATTTAAAACAAATCATTATAAAGAAAAAGAGGTTTTAATCTCTTTTAGCTCTAACATGGATCTGCTTGGACTAGATTTTGACCATAATCAGAAAATTCAGATTTTATTGAGGGTTTAAAATATAGAGGTTTCCATTTATAATGGATTGACAAGGAAAAATACATTCCGATATTATCATGTATGATCACTAATCGTAATTTGCATATATATTGGGTTGATGAATACGTCATATTTTTTCTTAGTCATATTTCTGTACAACTTGAACTATAAATTTGTAGATGAAAATTATATGACCTAGCCAATCTCTTTTATTTTCCATGCAATTCTTTTGAAAAGAAAAAAAAAAGAATTATTCTGATTATTTAGTTATATTCTGATGGGAAACACTAAAAATTACTTATGATATATATACTCTTTTTTCTTTATAATTTATTATTATTTATCTTAAATAATAAAGCTTAAACTGAAAATTTGCAAATATGGATTGAAATGAATATATATATAAAGTTCATACAAATCAAATTAAATTACCAGTATGAAACAAATGCAAATATTCTCATGTATTTATAATAAACTTCTTTTGCAAACTAGGCAGATTAATCTCATATGACTATTAGCATTTTGAATTTCTTACTGATAGTGTGTTTGAACAAAAAAGTAATATATGTATATTTAATCGTGAAAGGAAACAATTTAAAGACAACTTGAATGAATATTATGCATATCATTATAATGGCTACACAAAATTTCTTAAATTGTTTCCTTATCAAGGAGTATATATTTGAAGCTATTTTCAGACAATATTGAGATAGATTATATGTATATATTGTTATATATGTTTTGTGAATATGTTTGAATTCTAAGAATAAATGTGCAATAAAAAATGTGTATAATTTAATTAAACTGAATATGTATAGTATTTTAAAAGTAGCTGGTGAGTAAACAGGGCCACATAGAATTGTTTTGTCTATATATGATTAAATAATAAGTAACAGTGTAAAGGGATCATAAGTATGTCTTACATGTAACAACATCCTATAAGAAATTTATCAGAAAATTCCATTTGTACATTTATAATTTATAGGTGAACCTTCTTTTCAAAGGGGTATGATGTTGATTGTCTATTGTACTGTGCAGTATTTTTTTTTTAGCAATTCCGGTTATCACTTTTTATGTATGAGGGTCTGGATGGGGGGTTTCTTATTTCTTTATTCTTTAATTTATTTTACCATTTTTCTCTATTCTTTAAATGTATACTATTGGGTTACAACCTTGTAGTTTTTAAACAAGGATTATTCAGTTGAAATATGTATACATGGTAACATGCAAGTGCTTTGAAGTGCTTTGAAAACAGGATATCTGTAGAAATATCACCTCAAAATTCTATATTTGTTTTAAAGGAATGATGACCTAGAATAATAATATTGTGTGAAAGAGTATAAATGAAGAGTGCCTACCTCACAAAAAATATATGAAATTCAATGTATACTGATTTTTTTTGGTGCTCCATGATTTGATAAAATGAAATTTTAATATTATATATCAAGCTATAAAATTATATCAGAAATTATTTTGTGAATTGCTTGCATACATAATTTTAAGGCAATTTACATATATTTAAACCATGCATTGCAAAATGGTTTCTTTGTGAAATCCACCGTAAGAAATGAATCATTAAAACTAGAAAAGAAGGATTTGATGTTTGTGATTTGTTAAGCAGATGGCTGTGATCATAATATTTATGTAATCAGCTTGGAAAAACTGTTTTATTCCAAATATGAAGTTGGAACCCCAAAATGTTTTTTGCAATGTTAAAAGGTTGTTAGTTTTATTAAAGATAAATTGGTGATGTCTCTCATATACAAAACGATGATGTCTCTCATATACAAAATAATTAACAATTTTTTACCCTATAAAGATATTTATACTGCAGTTAAAACACTTCTGATTGTCTTTATTTACCAAATATAGTAACAAAGAGATATTTCGAGCAATGTTGATTTCATGCCACATCACTTTTCTTCAGTCTAGGGTTCGTTTAGGGATGGAAAATAAATTGTATTTTTGTTAGTATTTCAATAACTTTAATTGTAGCCATTTGTAGCTGTAGTATAAAAACAATATTAGATATAGTTTCTAAGCCTCATACAAAAAGTTGATATTTTTCTGACGTTGACCTAATATTATATATTTATCAGGCTACTTGATGTATACCCTATACAGATATAATATTTATTGATGTATGCCCTATACAGATTATCTTTAAATCCATTTTTGATGTTAAGTGTATTTATTTATCTTCTTCTGTTTACTCTGTTCTGTATTGTTGTCTATTAACAATATTTGCAATAAAAACTACAATTTTTTATCAATTTTTTTTGTTCGATACTGATATTTTACAGCCATTACTTCGTTGTTGTTTTTTTGCTTTTTTGCCAGTTACATATAAATACTCTGTAAAATAGATTTATTGACTGATGTTTGCGGCAAGTTGTAAAATAGAAAAGTGATTGCAAATGATTTTACAGGAGATTTTTTTACAAGTTGTAAATGAAAGCTTCAGTCACATTTTGAAAAGGAATTTTCTTTTCCTAATTAATAAATTGCCAGAGAAAAAATAGCTAGTCTAAATTTTTGACTTGGATAAAAAAAAAATGATTTAAAATTGTTGTTTTATAGAATTGTTATAGTTTAATTTCATGTGTGAATGAAAAGATTACATGTTAAGTTGTTTATGGATGTTATTTTATTTTCCATTATGGAATAATTTATGTGATAAGAAACATAAAATGTTAAAAGAAGTGATTGTTGTGTATTTAATTCAAGTTTTATTCCCTTGGAAAAAGAACTAACTACAGGTTGTTTTCAAAAAATGCAAATCTTAATTACAGTGTACTAAATTCAAAAGATTGAGGTATACATCTTTCCAGTACCTGTGTTAAGCTCTAAATTTTCTCAAGTCTACACACAAGTTGTAAATTTCGAAACAGACTACCAAAGATATGTCTGACATCAACATTCAATCAATAAAAGTAAAAAAAAACACAAATATAAACAAAGACAACCTCCGATTCTGTTTTATGTCACAGTTCAGTTCTAGGAAAATATGTGACCTGCAAACATATAACTTGGTGTTAGAATGCATCAAAGAGAGCACATATGATTCCCATTTAAATTTGGTTACTGGGATGTGCATGGCTTTAATTCTTAGAATTGAATTCATATCTCCAGCACAGTTTAACTTACAATCTCAGAAGGAGATATTTTAATGGATCCATTGGTTGGTGTCAGCAAAAATCACCTATTCAAGTGCAGTAATTAGGCTTGCTTTTCAGTCATTTTTGCATTGAAATAAAGTTGCATTCAAATTTGTTCAAAAATATCCTCCTTTGACAGTACATCTTAATAGGATTCAAATCATTAATGGTTGCCAAAAACATCGTATTTGTTTTTTAGCAATTTTATTAAGAGATCCAAATCCAGCTAATTATTGGGAATAACTAACCAGTTTGTTTCTGAATTGGATTCCAAATGTGTTAATGGCTTTGAGGGGAATCCAATACCTGTAGCTGCAATAACATATATATATATATATATATATATATATGCTCAAGCTTGTTCCCCCTTTCAGAATAAGATAAAGTTTATGTCATTTACATTCATTCAATCTGTCGCAATGAATTAAATTTTTAAGAACCCCATCCAGGAAAAAAATATCACAGGGCTTCCCTGCTGAAAAATGTTTAACTTGACAACCAGCTGAACCTCCAAAATGATATACATAATGACTTTTTGAACTTCATGCAGATAAAAACTGGACTAGACTTCAATCCTAGTCTTAGCCTAATCTTTAGATCAAACCAAAACTGAAAAAAAAAGAAGAAAAAGTGTTGCAGCTTTTTATCCGACATATACAAAAAATTGAAAAACTAAATAAATTCCATATTTCAACTCTTATCTGGAGTGGTTTTCAACAGCAGAGAAAACTCCCATTTCGTGATTTTTTTCCCCAGTCTTAATAGTCAGCAGTACAAAAAAGTTCAACTAAAATGTAACTCAAACTCTAAATTGTAATAATATATGATACATAAAAAATGTACAGGGGTCTTGGCATAAAAAAAACTATTTTGAACGAGGAATTTTCTGAATCTGGAACATTTGATAAGAAATGTATTTAATAGTCAAAGACAAACTGACAATGCCATGGCAAAAACATAAAACAAAACACAACATAAAAAATCAAGATTGAGCAACACTAACTCCACCAAAAATCAGGGGTGATCTCGTGTGCTCTGGAAGGGTAAGCAGATCCTGCTCCACATGTTGCACTCATTCTGTTGCTCATGCAAGTACTAATTCTGTGATAAGTCTCATTTGGTGCTGTCACATTCAAGGAAAAGAGGACGGAATTGTGTTATCAACAATTGGAACATACCAGTAGTCCTCTGTATTAAAGATATTTCATAATGGTCAACCAACTTGTGATGCCCAGCATCTGTAACATTTTTGAAGGGATGACTTCAACTTTACCACTTGGAAACCTTGGTTTAACAGCTTACTTATAAGCAGCAACCCACAGTCAAAGAATTCATGGTAGGAAAAACAAGCTCAATATCATCTATATATTGGGAGATACATGTACATGTATCATATGCAGGCACTGCTGGAATTTTACTATTTTATTCTGAATATGCAAATATTTCATGAGATTTTTTTTGCAGCGTAACCATAAACAATATGTATTCTTCCTTTGCTGCATTTCAACAAAACTACTTATTTTTCATCTATTTTATTTGACTTTTTCATAACTGCAATGTACATTGTATTTGATCTTTTTTTTCTTTTTATTTTTTTGGGGGGGGATGTTATGAGTGCAATGCCATACAAAATTGATTATGGAAATTCTGATATAGTCTTCAGATGTTAAAAATGAGCCTCCTCATGGGGTTTTTGATTATGTGATTACTTGGCCGTTTTTATAGTGATTATTGGATTACCAGACCAAATATTTCATGATTATTTGATTATTTGATAATCTAGGACTGTATTTTTGATTATTTGATTATCTTGTTTAAAAAAATAATTAATATGATTATGTGATTATATTGGCAACAGATTTGTGATTATGTGATTACTTGGACACCCCATGAGGGGCCTCAAAAATGCATTTCATTTGTCTTTTGAAGTATAGATCATTTACTTTAAGAGAGATAAAGTAGCTTTAAAAATATATAATGTAACTGGTATCAAATTAATTTGTTTTTCTTTTGATTTAGCAGGTTTTGGCTTTCTGATGGAAAATAGTTAACAATAAAATTTTCAATCTTGTCCTTGTTTGCCTGAAATATGAAATAAAAATATGAAAAAAATTTGAATAAAGTAAGATTTTATAAATATTGAACGTTATTGCCCATTTCGGTATTCCGTTTTGACGGTTTTTGGTCAAATCTTTTTTTGCCGTTTAGGCTGAGTTTCTTAAGTGTTTATGATTACGATAAAAACTGCGTGTCGTAAAAAGAAAGTGATGACTATGATGTAAACAAAATGAACTTCCGGTGGTTGGACGAGCAAAATCAAAATGTTAAAATTTAACGCTCAGACAGCGGGTTTTCATTGATTTTTGACCGAGAAAGTTCTTGATCAACGAAATTTTGAGCTTAATAACTGTCATCAAAATCACTTTTACAGGAGGTAAATCAATACTTCAAATTCACATAAAAGCACGTCAACAGCAACTCCTGTGGTAAGGGGCGTCCACTTGTCTCTTCTTCACTTCAGTTACAAAAATTCATCAACGTACTGATGTTTACTTTGTTCTGTGTTGGATGCATAAATACACAAGCTCGTTTGTTCTGAATAAGGTTGTAAATAGTGAGTGTGCCGTATTTCATTATTTACTACACATACTAAGAGCTCTAAAACCCTTACTTTAGGCCAGGGGACCCAGTTCTTACAATAGCTAAAATTCACCCTTAAGCTCCTTTAAATGCTGAAATCCCTCTATCATGTACAGAAATCTCCAATACAAAGTACTGAAAACTCTAAAGAATTGATAAACAACTATTAAGGGACCACACTGGGCTTTTCCAATGTCTCAATTTTTTATTTCATCTGGCAACAAAATACGGCTGCTCCAGGTTTTTCTGACGCCAAAATTTTCCCATGTAAAAATTTTCATTTCTCAATTGAACAGTAATAAAATTGATCGTCATTTAAATTTGTAAAAGTGAAAAAAAGAGATATTTTACCTTGCAACAAGTTTATGACAAGTTTTACAATCCCGAGTTAATCAATGATCACAACAGGTGTCATGATTTGTTATATGCCAATATACAGTGTTCTCCCCAGGCCGATATGACGCTGCGGTGCCGCAGCGCCTACATAATATTTTTGTAGATCCCGCAGCGTCTTAATTGGCCGCTGTCCCTTAATACTTGATCCTGCAGAGTGTTAATTTTTACATTTTCATTATAAATGTTGGTTAAAATTGTCAAGTTACTGATCACCGCTGATGGGTCGGTCAGTGTTACGCAATAACTGATAATTAGTTTTACCTGAGCCACGCTTATCTCAGCCTTATCGGACTATGTTATCAGGTAATAGAGTATATGATCATCAAGAAAATAGATATTTTTTGAAGAAAATTAAAAATTTTAAAAACTTCAGTGCAGAAATTGAAGAAATAGATCGCAAATACATTGTATTTTCGCATCGTGTGTGTGCTCTCTTGACCATTTATATAACGAATTTTTCATTGGTCGAGAAGAAGAATCTATTTAAACACGACCAATGAATGTGTTGAATACACATGATAAATTTGAATACACATTGCTAAAGATATTTACGATGAAAACTATGAATGAAAGTATTAGTAGTTGAAAAAATTAAAATAAAATAAAGTTTGATTAAAGATAACGAGGAGTGATTTACTTTAATAGAAAGTGAAAAAATGTTGCTTGCAAGGTAAATTCGTCTGAAACTGTCATATTTTTAGAAATAAAATGATCATTGAACATCGATCGTGAATCCGTGTGTCGGGAATATGTGACAATCAACACGGGTACAGAATCGCCGCAGCTTCTGTATAATGTCACTGGTAAATAATTTCAATGGTTTTAACTTTAACGAATTTGTAAAGGTTCGTTTATATCTATCTGCCAAAGATAGGATTAAAAATAATATGCACAGAAGGGTAATGTGAAACTACAGAAACTGGTCAGCTATTCATTTATAAAAAAAATTTGTTTTAAAAAGTTGTATACCAAATATCTTAACCATATTCGATTTTATTAATTCTGAATGAACATGTTCTCTGCAAATAACAAAGGGGTGAATTATAAGCAAAAGGTAGATGACGGAAGTAGAAGTTTTTTTCAGACCAATGACTTCTAATGAAAAGGGGAATACACCTCCGTCTACACTGTCAGTATAAGCAGATTTCATTGCTTCTCCTAATCCCAACCAAGCTCAAGTTTTAGCAATTGATAAAAGCAAGCACCATGTTTCTGGTTTCAATGACAAGTGGCTGACTGAGTTTTCATGGCTTAGAAATGTTAAAGGGGGTATAAGCAAAAGTTATTGTGAGTGGGGGTTTAGTTTTAAACCCTGAAGAGGATAAAGACAAAGTTGAGGAACAGACTGTCCAACAAAATAACACTATCCCTAGAAGGAGCAGAGAGAAGAGATGAATATTTATATTTTGACTTCTTTAATTGACTGAATATAAATAACTTTTGTGTTTAAAATCAATTTATTTCATATATATATTCTTGTTATTCATTAATACTCTGCATTATTAAACACATAACAAAAAGCATTATAATTCATATTGCATGTCATGATTTATGACTTATTGCTTCAGATCACAAACTTTCACTCTAAAAAAAGAGTTACGCGCCCTTGAATTTTGCGCCTTAAAAAAATCCTGGGGAGAACACTGATATAATAATGGTTTTAATAAACTGGATGCAATTTATCAACCATGATCAAAGAGGAAAACGTTCCTCATCTCAGTAACTGTACATGTACAACTTCAAGATCGACACACACAAAAAAAAAATACATGGAAAACAAATTATGCTTGAGATCTTTTAATATTTTTGAAATTGAACCTCAAGACTTGAGGGTTTTACATATTGCTTCGCAGCTGAAGGATCAATGGGCAATGGCAATTTTTTTTTCAAAATTCAAGATGAGAACAAGATACAAGTTTACAATTTATCCAAAGGCAACATATACTTTACTGTCTAGTCAGTTAGATACAATTGGAAAGTTTTGCCTAGGATTCTTACCGTAGGTTTTCTTAAAAGTATTTAAGGGGTAAACATTACTGATCAGACTGAATATGACTAAGTATTTCATCCAAGAGCCTTTAGCACCAATCTTATAGGTAAACTGAATACTTCCAGATAACCATTTTTCTTTATACTTTGCAGAGAGAAAATTTTTAGAATTTTCAAATTGTTTCAGAATTAATCAATTTCGGTTATTCATTTTATTCCTTTTCCTTGAAAGTATTACTGTTTTTATGCCCTCGTCGTAGCGGAGGGGGCTTTAAGTTTTACCCTTGTCCGTACGTCTTTACGTACGTCCCAAATTTGGTTTCCGTTCTCTCACTTTAGTTTGCCTCAACCAAATGTTATGAAACTAATACACAATGCTTATTACCACAAAACACAGATCAGATTTGAATTTTGGAGACATCACTTAAACCGTTCTAGAGTTATGCCCCTTTACAAATGGAAAAATTGCTGAATTTTTTGTTTCCGTTCGCTAAATTAAGTTAGCCTCAACCAAATGTTATGAAACTTATACACAATGCTTATTACCATAAAACACAGATCAAGTTTTAATTTTTGTGGCGTCACTTTAAACGTTCTAGAGTTATGCCCCTTTAAAATTGCTGAATTTTTTCGTTTCCGTTCTCTATAGTTTGCCTCAACCAAATGTTATGAAACTTATACACTATGCTTATTACCACAAAACTCAGATCAAGTACAAATTTGGGTAGCGTCACTTTTACAGTTTTTGAGTTATGTCCCTTTATAACATTAAATGCAAGCTGGGGCATCATCTGTGTCCAATGGACACATTCCCCATTTATCTTAAATGAAGAACAGTGGTGAGAAGTAGATATTTTCTATTATTAATAACTCATGTACAATGATATAATTAAATATTTATTAGAATAGATACAGTATAGTAATTTGTTATTTCAAAAAAATCTTTTATAACTTAGATGATAACTGCAAAAGTGTACCCTTATATTGAAATTAGTCCTTTCATCCTTTTTTCAGCTTTTACACATGCAAATAGATGTTCCTCACTGTAGATCTTATCCTCCTTTAAGACAAGTCCAGGATGCCTTATTCTGTTAAACTTTTGATGCATATTCTATATTACATACTTACCTAATGATGTGCATGTGCAAGTTCTGTATTTCAGAGAGATCCCACATTTGAAATATTTTAGTCTTGCATGCATCTTTTGAATTTTGTCCTGTTGGCTATAATCCACAATCAAGTTGTAACAATGAGCATCAGCACATAGCAAATGAATCAAATTGACCAATAAGTTACATACATTGTGTACATGCATATAACAACACTTCTCTGACCTGAATAAGATTTGACAAAAATTGAAGCTACAAGATTTTTCAAATTATGAAGGTATTTCTTTATTCAAGCACCTGCTATGAACACTGAGTAATGTGTTGAATTCTCGTTTGTATTATTAATGAATAACTTGGAGACAAAAAGTTGGTATTTCAGGGAATAAATATTGTGGGTATAATATGAATGTTACTTAATACTAGTGTTTTTTTCTTTGCTCATTTCATTAATTTTTTTAACACGCTAGATTTTCACAATGGTAAAGATACAGTGGAAACTTTTGGAGTTGCCATGGAGATTAAAGGTCTCAGCCATACAGTCTTTCCAATGGCTACGACTGTTAAGACAGACATTATTTTACAACCATTTTACCTCAACAACAGTCATCATGGAAACTGCGGCAGAGCCTATGTTTTGGACTGTTGATAGATTTGCAAAATACTTAGGACCAGTAAGTTGATTAGTGAATAATGAAAGCATATACCACTTATGATACAGTCAGTTTTGCTTGAATTTCTTTTTAGCTATTGGAGATTAGTTAAGATCAACATTGCTCAGGTGTAACAGATTACTTCATGTTAATTTACCTTAAATTTATCTGAGATCCATCTGAGCAATTTATTATAAATACAATTTTTTTAAAACAGCTTTATTAGGCCATGGCACAAAACACCTATAGTAATCCGCTTGTTCATGTGTATGCAAACTTGTGAACACAACTGCTCTAAGACTGTTTTACAGAAAACTCTCATACTTAGGAGGATTGTTTGTCATCATGTGAAATCAATATAATGGAAGTTGTCATTTTGATTCAACCATTTTTACAGGAATTTTTTTACTTTGGATCTTTTTTTTTTATTTTTTGTACCACAATGATCTTTGTGAATGCAACTCCTCTGATACCCTTTGACAGAAAACTCGAATACTTAGTAGTATTGTTTGCCATCATGTGTATATTAAAGTTATCACAGATTCACATTAATAAATCCAGGCATAGAATTTTGAATTACAGTATATAATTCTTATATTTTCAGATATTTATGACAGCAGTAGTATGTTTAGTATCATCGGTTATTGTAGTAGCCTATACATGTTTATTACCACAAGAGTACACCAAAGGTGTTGCAAGATGTATTTTCCATCTAATTTTTGGTCATTGGTTATTGGTTAATGTTGTGTTTAACTATGTGATGGCAGCATTTACAAACCCTGGAAATCCACCATATGTGAGTATATTGGTTCGAATTATCTCCTTTTTTTAAATTCACCATTTGAAACTAGGCAGTTTTGTGTTTAAGATTCGCTATTACCTTTCATACCCCCAAAAAACAAGTGAAATTGATCAATTTTTTCTAAGAACCAAAACAATTCAATAAATTCTGAAGAGTTTCTGAACTGATACATGACAGGCATATGAATAAATGGAGATATTGTGTATACTCCTATGAGATAGCAATCCAATAACTCAATTGGAATATGTGTAAAAATCACCTAATCTTCATCTGCAAAGAACAAGAATACTAACCATATAACATGAGCAGGAACACATACTGTATAAGATTTGCAAGAATGCCTACCATTTAACATGAACAAGTGCTCACATTGTAAAGTGTAAAACATGAGAAAGAACACACCATAGAACATGAACGGATGAATAAGCTCTGGACTTCAGAAACACAGTAACTAAGGGATGTAAACTTTGTCATAAAATAAAATCTACAAAAAGAATCAGAATCTGCGTGCAAATAATGTATCTGTCCAAAAATGCCAAGAACTGATAACTGTATCTATAAGTAAGTAATGTATCAGTCCAAAACCATCCTTGATTCAGTACTATATAGATTGAAATAATATTTCTATACATTTTTAGGAGGTTCCAGAAACAGTATCTATATGTAAGAAATGTATAAGTCCAAAACCTCCTAGAACTCATCATTGTAGTATATGTAACAAATGTGTGTTAAAAATGGATCATCATTGCCGTATCCTTTTCACTATGCAGTTCTTATATAAATGTTGTAGTCAATGAAACTTCAGTCAAAAGTTCAAATACAGTCGAGATATACATGTAGTTCTATTTGCATTTATTATTGCTAGTCCTTGGCCACTGGCAAAAAAGGCGAAATTTTATTTATGCGACTGCAAAAATTTTATCAAAGAAAATCACATCTGAAATTATGAATGCAAATTTTTATTTTTGCAAGCCTGATATTTTTGCATTTTTTGCATTAATAAGAACATCGCAACAATTTCCAAATTTACAGTACTTTCTTTTCATAGGTGATGTTACATATTATTCGCGATATCATGTGTAAAGCCAGAATAATAATTATGTTATGCATGTTCTTGAGTCAAGTTGAGTGTCCTGATTTCAACATTAATTATTATTCTGATCTATGTTTTTGTGCGCAGGGTATATGGGCTCATATTTTCTGTCAAGGTTAATATTCAAATTGCATGATAAGCCGCAATATTTTACTCCAGTATAATAAAATGTTTTACACGTATGACTTTGTTTAGTCTTATAGCAGTTTACTTCTGATTTGAAAAGTAATCTTTGAACCAAACAAATGAAAATTAGCTTGTTGAGTATAATTTTAATATCATTCTAATGTGCATCACACTTGCTTTCATATAAAACTCTTTTGAGCAGTTCAATAACCTTGAGTTTGATGAAATTTGAAATATGAAAGACACGTGTGAATTTTCTCTACATGTATTTTATATATATATACATATATATATATTGTATTTAGACCCCTCTACCAAGAAATTTGTTTTGCATGCACACGTATAAAAATTGTGGTTTTTATCCAAGGCAAACATAAGTTTGAACGTTGTTTTCAATTTGTTCATATTTTTTCATTTGGGCTTGTATTATATTTGCCTACAGGTTTATATAATCCGTTCATCCTATTTCGACTCTTCAAAATTCAAGTGTCTATCCTAAATTGAGGTAAATTATATGGCCTTCCAAATACCGTTTCGATTCCTAACATCACGGAAGAGACATTAATTTGTCGAAATCCGGATATGGTGTACCAATTTTTGCACCTCATGTTTGCAGTATACCATCTTTTCCGCAAGTTTATTGTTTTCTGTTTGGTATTTAAATTCATAATTAAGATCCATTTTGTTACATCTGGTGATCCGTTTATTTGGCAATCGCCATGGCAGTCAGCAGGGTTTAAGAACATCTGTTGTTCGACCTGCTAGTCAAATGTGTTTTGTTAAAATATACTTTTTCACTTTTTTGGTCTTTTGGAAAATGTTGTTTGTGTTGTATTTTGACCCCTCTACCAAGAAATTTGTTTTGCATGTACACGTATAAAAATTGCGATTTTTATCCAACGCAATCATAGGTTTGAATGTTGTTTTCAATTAAGACTTTTATACAACTCGTCTAAACATCAGCCCAACAATGTTAAATTCTCAAATTTTTAGTTCTTCCCTCACCGGGATTTGAACTCATGCTACTGAGATAACTCGTGACACCAAATCGCCTGCACTGTATCCGACTCGCTAGACCAAACGACCACCTAGGCTTCATATATATATATATATATATATATATATTTGTAACAGAATCATGATGAGATTTACATTGTACACAATAAATTAGAAATAAAACCTGATTCATTATATTATAAAAATAAGGAGATGTGGTATGATTGCCAATGAGACAACTATCCACTAAAGTTCAAATGACAAAGATAAAAGCCATTATAGGTCACTATACAGCCTTCAACAATGAGAAAAACCTATACTGTATTGTCTGCTTTATAAGGCTTGGCATGAGTATAGTCAGCTATAAAAGGCCCGACAGAGGTATAGTCAGCTATAAAAGGCCCCAGCAGGAGTATAGTCAGCTATAAGAGGCCCCACATAAGTCATTTATTGTCTGCAAGGTGCCAACTTTGTTGTTACAGGATTTATAAAATCCAATCTAAACAAAATACACCAGTTACTAAATAAATAATTCTTAAATATTTTAACTAATGTTTGTGTCAGATACAAAGGAAGGTGCTCCTCTTTAGGTCTTTTTCAAATTGATTTTATGTCCAAAGGTTTAAATATTTATTAAAATCATACATATTTAATGTTTTATTTTCATTATTATTACACATGGATTTAAAAATAGTTCAAGAGCTATGTTTGTAACAGTCTTCCTTAACATAAATCAGCTTGGATAAACAATTGTGTTGGATTTTATAACCATCGATATTTCTTTTTATTCATTGTTTATTTATCTATTGGAGCTATTTATGTGTGTGCTGTAGGGTATGATTCCTTTAAAGAACATTTCTATGGAGAAAAGGTTAGTTTAAAAAATAACATATAGAGGTTAACACACTGTCTTCAAAGATATACAAGTGTCTGTACCATATGCTAAGCTGTAAATGACCCTGAGTCTTTAAGGATGTATTCTTCTGACTTTTCAGTCTCGTTGAAATCTCGTTCTGGAATTATTTCCAAAACATGTGATAAAAGTGGAAAAAAGCAATGAATTCAATAAATATCATAATCAAACTTAACTCTGTGAAAAAACTGTGTATTTACAATAAGTAGTTTTTGAGTAATAAATTTTTCAAATTTTATTACCAATCAAGTCCGTCTTTTTAGCCAAAATTTTGAGAAAATGTGTGAGGGGAACAAGAAATGATTTTACCAGAAACATGTACCTCCCATATCACTTTTTTCTTTTCAAATTTCTTAGATATGTATTTTTTCAATCATTTATAACAAAGAAGTTGGAATAATATGAATTTTGTTCTTAAAACAGAAAAAAATCACAAATTAACAAAATTGACAGCATGGTAAATTTGACACGAAAAAGCATCAAAATATGATAAAACTTTCTTATATTAACACCTACCTATAGTTTTTGTCGAGCCTGCGACTTTTGTCGCAGAAAGCTCGACATAGGGATAGTGATCCGGCGGCGGCGGCGTTAGCTAACTTCTTAAAAGCTTTATATTTTAGAAGGTGGAAGGTCTGGATGCTTCATACTTTGTATATGGATGCCTCATGTTACGAAGTTTCCGTCAGTCACATGTCCAATGTCCTTGACCTCATTTTCATGGTTCAGTGACTACTTGAAAAAAAAGTTAAGATTTTTTGTAATGTTAAATTCTCTCTTATTATAAGTAATAGGATAACTATATTTGGTATGTGCGTACCTTGCAAGGTCCTCATGCCAGTCAGACAGTTTTCACTTGACCTCGACCTCATTTCATGGATCAGTGAACAAGGTTAAGTTTTCGTGGTCAAGTCCATATCTCAGATACTATAAGCAATAGGTCTAGTATATTCGGTGTATGGAAGGACTGTAAGGTGTACATGTCCAACTGGCAGGTGCCATCTGACCTTGACCTCATTTTCATGGTTCAGTGGTTATAGTTAAGTTTTTGTGTTTTGGTCTGTTTTTCTTATACTGTATGTAATAGGTCTACTATATTTGGTGTATGGAATGATTGTAAGGTGTACATGTCTAGCTGGCAGGTGTCATCTGACCTTGACCTCATTTTCATGGTTCAGTGGTCAAAGTTAAGTTTTTGAGTTTTAGTCTTTTTTTCTAATACTGCATGCAATAGGTCTACTATATTTGGTGTATGGAATGATTGTAAGGTGTACATGTCTAGCTGGCAGGTGTCATCTGACCTTGACCTCATTTTCATGGTTCAGTGGTCAAAGTTAAGTTTTTGAGTTTTGGTCTTTTTTTCTAATACTATATGCAATAGTTCAACTATATTTGGTGTATGGAAATATTTTATGATATTTATGTCAGTCACGCAGGTTTTATTTGACCTTGACCTCATTTTCAAGGTTCATTGCTCAGTGTTAAGTTTTTGTGTTTTGGTCTGTTTTTCTTAAACTATAAGCAATAGGTCAACTATATTTGTTGTATGGAAGAATTGTTAGCTGTACATGCCTGCCTAGCATGGTTCATCTGACCTTGACCTCATTTTCATGGTTCATTGGTCAATGTTTAGTTTACTTGGTTAATGTTAAGTTTATGTGACAGTTGTAATAAAGCTTTATATTTAGGACTATCAACATAATATCAATGATTAGTAAAGAAGGCGAGACATTTCAGCGTGTGCACTCTTGTTTTAAGTTAAATTTATTCAGATTGGTCCACTTCATCTTTATTGAAAGTATGAAAAAAAGTTTAATTGTGGAACTGTGATTTTTTTCTCACAAAAATAGCCCAAAAATGGGTAAAAGTTGATGAAAAATGGGAAAATCATCAAAATTGGGTACTTTCAAAAGGTTGTACCAAAAAAGAAGTGCAGCACCATATGATTTTTTTTTCAGCAATTGTTTTTTTACAGTCATATAAACCTAAAAATCAGGTTAAGAAAAAAAGTTTAATTCTAGAAATTTTTGGCTCCTCAGAGGTGTACATCCTTAAATACAGACAACAACAAAAATGCTACAAAAAAGTCACAAAGCTTTACCTCCACGATAACTATAATATATTATGACCAATGAAAACAGCCACAAGAAAGTCTATTTTTTGTAAACATAGGTGTTTAATTATATTTTTTTTTACATTTTGTAGGAATATCCATTTCCAGGGTTTATGTATCCTCTCAATATAGCACATGAAGTTTGGCAGCAAACAGCTACAGTAACTGTAAGTCTAAAAATTGTCAAGAGAAAATGACAGGGAACATTCCTCTGTTAAAAAATTGTTCATTTCTGAGAAATTTTATAAATAAAAATATATTGGGTGTTTATTATGTCCACAAAGAGGGGACATATTATGAAATACCTGGGTACATCTGTCCACAATCTGTGCAAAAGCAAATTTCTATAGGAGTGTATGCAGACTCTGGCAAAACCACAAAATTGAATATCCATGAAAAATACAATTTTTCCTCAACGAAATTCAGTATGCACAAAAATAAATGAATCCACAGTACACTGATATACATATCTTTTTTTTGTAGCCAGATTATCCATTAGCTATCCATATATATATATATTGCTAATATAATGTAATTCTTTTTTCATTTGTGATATTGTACAGTGGCTGATCAAAATTTTCATAAGTAGGGGCGCACTGACTGCCTTAGAGCTCCAGTCATGCTTCAGTGATTCCCTATAAAATCAACCAAATTTTTCCAACAAAATGGGGGGCCTCGGCCCCCTGGGCCCCCACCCCCTAAATCCGCTTCTGTTGTATCCTTTGATGAAATGTGCTTTTAAATACATTTATATATGCTTATCTATCTTCAGGCAGCACCATACAAACATGACGAGAATGATTTAGAAATTGATTACGTGGATGCATTTTTCCACAATGCTGTATTGTACGAGTTTATTTTGGCCAGTGGAGTTTGTGTGGCTATATCACTGTTATTGGTGTGGCACATCAAAATGATCAGTTATAATGAAACTAATATAGAAATCCATATCAACAAAAAAGAAAAGACCAGACTGAAAGCTCTGGGGATTGTAAGTTTACATTTGTTGTGTTGCTTTAAGGTGGCACCAAACACCTCGACTAAAATTAATTTGGCTCTTTTAATTTTCATAAAATTTTGACAAAATATTTACTTTGATCCTTTGACAAAAATATAAAAATTTCAAAAAACTTGAACCACACACTTTATCAGAAAAATTTCATTGGATATATAGCAGTTTGACAAACGCTAATTTTGATCATTGAGAAGCTTAATATCCCCTTAACCATAGAATGTGATTAAAACATTCAGCTGATTTTTACAGAGTTATCTCCCTGTAGTGTTATGTACCACCATAACATGAGATGAGAATGTTAGAAAACCTACCAAAATGATTATGAAACAACTAGGTTTATTAAAAACATCAGTATTTATTACAACTGAATGATTATTTTGTATTTGTACATTGAAAGTTACAGATGAAAATTGTGTATTTCATTTAAAGTAATAATGTCCCTTTGGGCTTACGAAATTACAAGTACAAATGTTTAAATTTAATGAAAATATTTTTCAACATACTATTTGTTTTAGGCAGCAGCATTTTTATGTTGTGTTGTTACATTTAGTACACAAAAATCTTGTTTTTAATTGCAAATATATAACTTATATGAAGTTGGAAAAGGTACAATAAGGGGAATTAACATTTTCATTTGTTTAGGACAAATTTAGAATTGAGTTTGTTTGCTAAATATAAGTTTTTACTTTACTCAGCCACGTCTGAATTATTGCAACCATTTGGAGTCAGTTATCTGTTCTCTTTGGTAAATCGTTGTAGTCATTTTCATTTGCATAGGCCATATTTAAAATCGAGTTTGTTTGCCAAATTTGAATTTTTACTTTACTCAGCCGTGTCGCAGTCATTGCAACCATTTGGAGTCTGCTATCTATTCTCTTTGGAAAATCTTTGTATTAAAAAAAAAATTGAAACAAAATAGGCCTACAGTTATATCAGATATATTTACAAAACTATATGGCCTCATTAGTTTCAATGTGTAAAATCAACAAAATGTTGTCAATTCAGAAATTAAAGCATTGTTTTTATTATTGCGATTAATGCAACTTGGTGAGTATCGCAATAATAAGAACCCACATTCTGATAGATGATACATATATTTGTATGCACATTTTCCTGAAATTGCAATAATTAATCTCTCATTTTTGTCCATTCTTCAAAGTTTGCAATAATAATTGTATGCATTATTTTTTTAATTTACAGTATTTAATTCAGAATTATGCAGATTTCACTTTTGATTTTTTACAGCAATTCAAGAATCCATACCATCATGGAAAAATAAGAAATTGGAAAATATTTTTAGGATTATATGATGGAAGGTAAGATAATAAAAATTGTATTAGGAGAAAATAATGTTAACTTGATAATGAATGTTTAATGTTAATACAGGTTTTGTTTTGATAACATGGTAATAATGGAGTCTTATCTGATTGAAAATTTGAAAGATATAACATTTCTCATTGAATGAGTTACTTCAGAAATATCCTGTCGTTTTAAAAAGAAACAGCAGACAAATATTTGCATTTTATCAACAGCGTTACACCATTGTAATTTTTACAAACACTTAAAATGATTTTTCTATGGATTTAGAAAAACAAATGTTAGGAACATTTTCAAAATTTATTTTTGTAATACATGTATTTTTAAATGTTGAAAATCATTTTAAATTTTGTAAACATTTTGATTTGTTGATTACAAAGTCTTCCATAAAATAGACAAAGTTGATTATTCTTAAGGATGTTCGCTACTCTTGTTTTTGACTTTTTGTCAGATATTCGGAATCCTCTAGTTTTATCCATGTTAGTGCCAATAAAAATTTTGCCCGCTAACCCCTATTTTTCTTTTCATAATCTTATTACATATAGTTTAAATAGCCATATTTAAAAATGCTATAAAATCCTTGTTATTTTTCATAATTTTTTAAAGAAAAAGGGTGCCAATGATAAATGTATGAAAAGTCTAGAGAGAATTATTTCCTGCCAAATTTTCAATGGCTTATATCTCGAAAACAAGCACACGGACCCTTCATTTTTTCTGCTTTTTTAGTTCCTTTATTTATATACTTTCAATTTATAACAGTCTTTTAAAAAGCTTGTTATTTTGAAACAGAATAGCAAACATCCTTAAACAGTGGACCTATTATTATTTGTTGGGTACCAATTTTCATGGATTTTGTGGATAAAGGTGAACCCATGACATGAAATCAAATATCTGAGAAAATAATTTTTTCCTCAATCCACGAAAAATTGGGACCGATGAAAATAAAAGAATCTATAGGATGCAATGTTTGATAGGAATCACTACATTTACAGCTGTTATCCTAATGCTAGCAAGTTAAATGTTTGGTTGGCTTGCTTGCTTTGTTTGTATTCAAGTTTGCTCAAGCATTGTAATTAAGATTGACATATGAAAACAATATAAGTAGGCAAAGTTAAACCTGTATATAGGTAAATTTGATTATTTGATAATGTCCAATCAAATTTAAATATAATGTATACAAGTTTAACTCTGCCTTTTTATATTGTTATCATATGTCAATCTTAATTACAATGCTTGAGCAAACATTGATACAAACAAAGCAAGCAAGCAAACCAAACCTTTAACTTGCTAGCATTAGGATAACAGCTGTAAAGAAGTCAAACTATTCACATATCAACCAGTATTCAACTAGCTATGACACCTTATTTGATTATTGTCTATATTAAAAAAAACTTCTATAGATAAGAATTATAGCATCTAATGAAGTAAAATGATGATTCACTTTTCACCAATTGAAAACAGATATTTAAAACTTGCTAACGGGTCAGGTGATTCATTTTTCAACAGATAGAAAAAATTAGAGTATAGATAAGAACCAAAACATCCTGTTGGTAAAGCATAAGATCACATGACTACACTTAGATCATGTGATTAACCTGATAACCAGTATAAACCTGTTATGACCTGCTGTATTTGTTTTTCTTGACAGAACAATCTGGAGACATATTTTATTACCATCTACACATCCACCAGAAGGAGATGGATTACGCTGGCCAAAAGCTCAGTATAAATACGACAGAAAGAAAGGAATATTGCAGCTCTTATGACAAAAACTGTATCTAGGAAAATATGACTGACAATATTTATTAACCAATTTTATCGAAGACCACAGATATATTTTATATGTCATTAAGGGACTGTTTGTGGTCAAATTTAGTTTTTAGCTCACCAGTCCTAAGGAACTGTGAGCTTGAGCCATCACTTGGCGTCCGTCGTCGTCGTCCGTCTGGAGTAAACTATTTCAAGCATCTTCTTCTCTGAAACTACTGAACCAATTCCAACCAAACTTAATCTGAATGATCCTTAGGGTATCTAGAATAAAGTTTGTGTTTTATTTTCTGTTTCGTCTAAAAACATTGCCGCCATGGCTAAAAATAGAACATAGAGGTAAAATACAGTTTTTGGCTTATATCTCAAAAACCAAAGCAGTTAGAGCAAATCTGACATGGGGTGAAAGTGTTCATAAGGTAAAGTTCTATCAGTCCTGAAATTTTCAGATGAATCTAATAACCCATTGTTGGGTTGCTGCCACTAAATTGGTAATTTTAAGGAAATTTTGCAGTTTTTGGTTATTATCTTGAATAGTATTAATGATAAAGATAAACTGTAAACAGCAAATATGTCCAGCAAAGTAAGATCTACAAATAAGTTTTATATGACCAAAATTGTCAATTGACCCCTTAAAGAGTTATTGCCCTTTAAGGACAATTTTACACAATTTGTTTATCATGTTTTCTAACTTCAAAAAATCTTCTACTCTGAAACCACTGAACCAATTCCAACCAAACTTAAGCTGAATAATCCTTAGGGTATCTAGAATTAAGTTTGTGTTTTATTTTCTGTTTCGTCAAAAAAAAATGGCCATCATGGCTAAAAATAGAACATAGTGGTAAAATGCAGTTATGGCTTATATCTAAAAAACCAAATGAGTTAGAACAAATCTGACGGGGTAAAAGTGTTCATTAGGTGAAGTTCTATCAGCCCTGAAATTTTCAGATGAATCTAATAACCCATTGTTGGGTTGCTGCCACTAAATTGGTAATTTTAAGGAAATTTTGCAGATTTTGGTTATTATCTTGAATAGTATTAATGATAAAGATAAACTTAAACAGCAAATATGTTCAGCAAAGTAAGATCTACAAATAAGTTTATATGACCAAAATTGTCAATTGATCCCTCAAGGAGTATTGCCCTTTGAGGACAATTTTACACAATTTGTTTATCATGTTTTCTAACTTTAAAAAATCTTCTCTGAAAATACTGAACCAATTCCAACCAAACTTAAGCTGAATGATCCTTAGGGTATCTAAAATAATGATTGTGTTTTATTTTCTGTTTCGTCAAAAAACATGGCCGCCATGGCTAAAATTAGAACATAGGGGTAAAATGCAGTTTTTGGCTAATATATCTCAAACACTTTAGCAATTAGAGCAAATCTGTTCATAAGGCCAAGTTCTATCAGCCAAGAAATTTTCAGACGAATCTAACAGTCCATTGTTTGGTTGCTGCCACTAAATTGGTAATTTTAAGGAATTTTGCAGTTTTTGGTTATTATCTTGAATATTATTAATGATAAAGATAAACTGTGAACTGCAAAAATGTTCAGCAAAGTGAGATCTACAAATAAGTTAATATGACCAAAATTGTCAAATGTGTACTTAAGGAGTTATTGCCCTTTAAAGACAATTTTTCACAATTTGTTCATCTAGTTTGCTTACTTTAAAAAATCTTCTCCTTTGAAACTGTTGAATCAATTTCAGCCAAACTTGGGCTGAATGAGTTTCAGAGTATCTAGTATAAATTTTGTATTTTATTTTCTTGTACGTCAAGAAACATAGCCACTATGGCTAAAATGGAACATAGGGGTAAAATGTATTTCTTTGCTTTTGAAGAAAATATGACAGATACAAAGAACATCTCAATGGAATTTTTAGGCCACTCATTAATATATATTAAAAAGCAAAAATAATCATTGATGAAAGATTTAAGCAAAAAATTGTAGGTGAGCGATTCAGGCTCTTGAGAGCCTCTTGTTTATCATTAACTTTAATCGTTTAGATTGATCCATGTTTTATATTTCATGCCTTTACATTATAACATTCCTACTTGACTTTTGTGGATGTTGTCTGTGTCTGTGTTGTTGTCAGATACCTCAGGTGATGAACCAGAATTAACTGTTTTATGTAAAAGATCATTTTGTTTGTTAGTTTTCTTCTGATGTAAACTACGATACATCATTTCAATTAATGTCACATGCAATGGTTTTTGTGATATATTGCTATGGTGTGCAAAAATAAAATAACATACAAATTAAAATTACTATATGATTGCTTATTTCCTGTTGAAATCACACTTCTGTGCAATATTGTATTTTCCTAGACATTTATTTTGTTTAAACTTGAAAGTATGGGAAAGTATGAATACATGTATAACAATTATTTATTTTTCTAGGCTATACCATATTTATATTAATAGTATGAAAAAAAATTGTATACTTTCAAATGTATTTCTTATTTGTTTTCATTTTCTTTAAAAAGTATAAAATTTTACACCAACTTTAACTTAATATATTTATATACATATATATTGTATTTTGATAAGACTTAAAAAAATAATTCTTTGAGGCTTTAGGAAGTACACCACTAATTCATGACCCCATTGCTTTCTATGTTAAATTCCTCAATTTCAAGCAGGCACAGCTCTTTTGTTTTAACTTCAAATAAAGTGACAATCATTGCATGTCAAAGCAACACTTTATGGTGTCTTGTACTGAAAAAATCAACATATCTTTAATGGCATATAAGAAAGAACTGGTTCCCGGAACTTCGGATGTACCAAAACAGGTACTTCAGATCTGACAAACAGGCAAAATGTACCCTCTTTTTAAAATTTGGTGCAGTTTTTTTAATATTCAAAATTATGAATCAAAAGGTCTTCTACAATAATCACAAGTCATTCAGCTTTCATTTGATACCAAAGATACCTAAATATTCTACATATTTTGAAAGTTACACTCATGCGTAGGAACTATTTTGTGTTAAATATGTACTACTTTCTGGTATAGGCTTTCTGGCCGGGCCCGAATTAGTGGTGTTACACCTATAACAGAACCAAACTTGCTATATTGACTTCAGCATTACTTTATTTCATTCTATGATCTATTTCAAGCAGTAAAAAAAATATAAAGCTTTAGTCCAAGTACTATTTACTAATTATAAGCTCAAATTGGACTGGTAGTAACATATGGGTTATTCAAAGAAAACTGCATATGGATTTTACCAATGGCCAATATACTTTTTTTATTCTCAACATCATTGTTCTATTTATTAATTTCTATTGAGAAAGCAATGTGCTTACCAATAAACATATTTTTACCAGATGTTGTTCATTTAATAAAAATATATTAGTTCAAACCTAACACATAATTGAGAATAGTGTCCCCCCTTTTTTCTTCAAATTGGAAAAGGGACATTTTGGTATAAACCATACTTCTGTGGTATAACATAGATTATTAAGAGCAATTTATATATCCCTCAGATGAACAACTTGCTAAACTGGTTCAAACTTGCATGTACAGTGAGATTTTGGAATTCTTATATGAGTATATACCAATTACCTAGATTGTAAAAGACTACCATAAGAAAACCAATATAACTTGAAAAATCATAGGATTATTTGACCAAGATCTATTTTTTTTACCATAAACAAGTCAAAATATACATGTTTTATTGATTTCAATCCCAAATAATGCAAAAGTAAGAACTTGGAGTCATGTCTTAACTGCATGCATGTTGTATGACCTTAAAAGGCTGAAATACCTTATTATGTCAATTTAAGAGCTGAAATTTCCCATAAACAGACTTGTTTATCCAAAAATGATGATTAAACATGATTACTGACATCAAATATGACTAATTTTCATTGGAATAGGTACAACTTCTAAACATTGAATTTCTGATGATTCTCTGTAATAGGAAGTACACCACTAATTCATGACCCCATTGCTTTCTATGTTAAATTCCTCAATTTCAAGCAGGCACAGCTCTTTTGTTTTAACTTCAAATAAAGTGACAATCATTGCATGTCAAAGCAACACTTTATGGTGTCTTGTACTGAAAAAATCAACATATCTTTAATGGCATATAAGAAAGAACTGGTTCCCGGAACTTCGGATGTACCAAAACAGGTACTTCAGATCTGACAAACAGGCAAAATGTACCCTCTTTTTAAAATTTGGTGCAGTTTTTTTAATATTCAAAATTATGAATCAAAAGGTCTTCTACAATAATCACAAGTCATTCAGCTTTCATTTGATACCAAAGATACCTAAATATTCTACATATTTTGAAAGTTACACTCATGCGTAGGAACTATTTTGTGTTAAATATGTACTACTTTCTGGTATAGGCTTTCTGGCCGGGCCCGAATTAGTGGTGTTACACCTATAACAGAACCAAACTTGCTATATTGACTTCAGCATTACTTTATTTCATTCTATGATCTATTTCAAGCAGTAAAAAAAATATAAAGCTTTAGTCCAAGTACTATTTACTAATTATAAGCTCAAATTGGACTGGTAGTAACATATGGGTTATTCAAAGAAAACTGCATATGGATTTTACCAATGGCCAATATACTTTTTTTATTCTCAACATCATTGTTCTATTTATTAATTTCTATTGAGAAAGCAATGTGCTTACCAATAAACATATTTTTACCAGATGTTGTTCATTTAATAAAAATATATTAGTTCAAACCTAACACATAATTGAGAATAGTGTCCCCCCTTTTTTCTTCAAATTGGAAAAGGGACATTTTGGTATAAACCATACTTCTGTGGTATAACATAGATTATTAAGAGCAATTTATATATCCCTCAGATGAACAACTTGCTAAACTGGTTCAAACTTGCATGTACAGTGAGATTTTGGAATTCTTATATGAGTATATACCAATTACCTAGATTGTAAAAGACTACCATAAGAAAACCAATATAACTTGAAAAATCATAGGATTATTTGACCAAGATCTATTTTTTTTACCATAAACAAGTCAAAATATACATGTTTTATTGATTTCAATCCCAAATAATGCAAAAGTAAGAACTTGGAGTCATGTCTTAACTGCATGCATGTTGTATGACCTTAAAAGGCTGAAATACCTTATTATGTCAATTTAAGAGCTGAAATTTCCCATAAACAGACTTGTTTATCCAAAAATGATGATTAAACATGATTACTGACATCAAATATGACTAATTTTCATTGGAATAGGTACAACTTCTAAACATTGAATTTCTGATGATTCTCTGTAATAGGAAGTACACCACTAATTCATGACCCCATTGCTTTCTATGTTAAATTCCTCAATTTCAAGCAGGCACAGCTCTTTTGTTTTAAGTTCAAATAAAGTGACAATCATTGCATGTCAAAGCAACACTTTATGGTGTCTTGTACTGAAAAAATCAACATATCTTTAATGGCATATAAGAAAGAACTGGTTCCCGGAACTTCGGATGTACCAAAACAGGTACTTCAGATCTGACAAACAGGCAAAATGTACCCTCTTTTTAAAATTTGGTGCAGTTTTTTTAATATTCAAAATTATGAATCAAAAGGTCTTCTACAATAATCACAAGTCATTCAGCTTTCATTTGATACCAAAAATACCTAAATATTCTACATATTTTGAAAGTTACACTCATGCGTAGGAACTATTTTGTGTTAAATATGTACTACTTTCTGGTATGTGCTTTCTGGCCGGGCCCGAATTAGTGGTGTTACACCTTTAAAAGCATTTCTGATATGTTGAAATATAGCTGTAAAGAAGGATGAAATAAACAACAAGAGATGCAGTTGTAAAATATGTATCTTCAGTATTTTTATGACATGTTGGCAAACTTACATTCTTTTTTGATGATCTGCCAAAATTCTATTTTTGTGTGGTGTCTTTAGGCATGGAGTTGACCAACAAGAGTTTTTTTAATAATGCCCCCGCTTTAGTGGAGGGGGCATTAAGTTTTACCCTTGTCCGTGCGTCCCAAAATTGGTTTCCGTTCTCTAACTTAAGTTTGCCTCAACCAAATGTTATGAAACTTATACAAAATGCTTATTACCACATAACTCAAATCGGGAACAAATTTGGGTAGCGTCACCTCTACTGTTCTTGATTTATGTTCCTTTATAATGTTTTATACAAGCAGGGGCATCATCTGTGTCTCATGGACACATTCTCCATTTATTTTAATAATTGTTTGCTACTAAATTTCTGGGGGAAAATGTTAAGATCTGCAGAGGTTATTGGAAAAAATATCTTGTTTTTGATTAAAGTCAAAAAATTGCTTGTTCCAAAAAACAAGCATGTCCCACCTTCCCAACCCCACAAAAAAATGAATGGTCAGTGCCTTATGGATTATAGAATTCCAGCTATGTATAAAAAGAAAGTTGAAAATTAGATTTATAGAAACAGAGAGGATGACATTTATCATGATTATATAGTATATATTTTTTTTAACACAAAAATTCCAGCTTTTGATTTGGTAGCCAGTCATAAATGTCAACTCATATATTGGACAAACAAATAGATATAGGAAGATGTGGTATGAGTGCCAATGAGACAACTCCCCATCCAAGTAACAATTTATAAAAGTAAACCATTATAGGTCAAGGTACGGCCTTCAACACGGAGCATTGGCTCACACCGAACAGCAAGCTATAAAGGGC